AAAAAGGAATACATTTCTGAGGCGTTAAATGAACTTATAGAAACCTTTAATTTGATAGATTCTGTGGAATATTTTCCAAATAACAATACCTTTTACACATGGCGAAACAACACCGTACAAGCAAGGTTAGATCGTATCTACTGCTCACAAAACTTGTGTTCAGTAACAAATTTATACTGTTGTCCAACTTATATTTCTGATCATGATATGTATTCGGTTGATATTGAAGTTTACACCAACTTGGAAGAAAAAGGGAGCGGATTCTGGAAAAACAATGTATCAGTTTATAATAGTGAAATATATATTGAAGAACTTAAACATAAATGGGATAATTGGCGCACATTGAAAGTATTATTTAATACAAAGACTCAATGGTGGACCGAAATAAAGAAAAAAATAAAAGATTTAACTATCAAACATTCTGTTAAACAAGCAAAAGATGAAAAAGCACAATATCGCAAAGAAATGAAACAGATGGAAGAACTAAAAGAAAGATTAGACAGAGGAGAAAAAGTTCTAACTTTATTCAATAAAACAAAAAGAGAAGTACTAAAAAAACAAAAGCAGAAGAATAGTAAAATTAGATTTCAAAATTTGGCCCATTTCTATGACACGTATGAAAAATGTAACAAGGCATTCTTTAAAAAATTGAGAAAAAAACATAAAGAATGTTACATTAAAAAATTAAGAAACACAGAAGATGTGGTACAAGAAAAATTGGTGGAAAAGATGGCAATAGTTAAAGAATTCTACCAGAAACTATACAAAAAACAAAATAACAACATGAAAACTCAGATTGATTTTGTGGAAGGTATTCCAGATTCATTAAAACTAAAAGAGGATGATGCAGAAACATTACAGAGACCGATAATCTTTGCGGAAGTTCAAGAAACAATCAAATCTTTCAAAAAAGACAAAACTCCGGGACCAGACGGCATAAGTGTCGAATTTTATATAAAATGTTGGAATATAATTGGAAATGATTTTTTTGAAGTTTTAGAAGAAGTGTATGAAAAAGGCCTCATTACAAAAGATATGAAAAATGGATTTACAACACTAATTCATAAGAAAGGTGAGATGGATCAAATAAAAAATTACAGACCTATATCATTGCTGAACACCGACTATAAGATACTTACAAAATTACTAGCGAATAGACTAAAACGACTACTACCTGAAATAATAGATAAACATCAAACCGCTGTTCCAGGAAGGAGAATATCAGATACACTCATCTTATTGAGAGATATATGTATACAGGAGGAGAACAAATTTGGAGAATCTTCTCTGCTTTCATTGGATTTAAACAAAGCCTTTGACAGCGTGGACCTGGAATATCTATTTCGTGTACTACATAAATTTGGATTCAAAGAAAAATTTATAAATGTACTTCGAACTTTGTATACCGAATCAGAAACTAGGGTGTTGATGAATGGATATTTAAGTCAAGCAGTTACATTAGAAAGAGGAGTTCGCCAAGGTGATCCACTAAGCTTATATACGTTCATAATAGCAATTGAACCCTTGCTCATTGCGATAAATGCCCATAAAAGTATCAATGGAATTATGATCCCACACAATCAAGAAATAAAGCATCTAAGTTACGCTGATGATATCACCCTAACTGTAAGAAACAAAACTTCAATTTATTATACTCTGGATTTAATAAACAAATTTGAGCTAGCAACTGGCATGAAGTTGAATATTGGAAAAACAAAACTTTTAAAAATAGGAAAATGGACTAATCCAAATTTTTTTTCAAATCTCCATATTGTACAAAGTTTGAATGTACTCGGAGTAGTGTTTTCAAACTCTGATACAAGCAATAACAACTGGGAAGACTGTATGGATAATGTTAGGACTGTAATAAGTGAACTGAAGGACATTCCTTTATCACTCGATGGAAAATGTCTATTGATCAAACTTAAAATTTTACCTGTTTTCTTATACTGTGCAAGAATATTCCCTATCCCGATGTATATAGGAAAACAAATTAATGATATTATTGAAAAGTTTGTATTTAATGGTAGAAATACCTTAAGAATTGATACATTATGTAAAAACAAAATATTAGGAGGATATGATATAATTAATATTCCTCTTTTTACAATGTGCCTTTATGTCATGACTTCTTATGAATATTACTGTGATAGAATTAATGCTAATATTGAACACTGTAGACAATCCGTATATAATTTCATTGAATATAACATAGGGCAACAACTGAGTGTTATTTTTAAAATACCTGTAAATAATAGTGTATCACATACCTTTTTCCCCAATAGATATTATGGAGCCATTATTACTTTCCTTCGGCAATATAACATTCCTGGAACTGATTTAGAACAAGGGAAACATCGAATAATTTATAATAAAATAGTTGATAATTTGAAGAGGGGTGACAGAATAGTGTTTCTTAGAGATGGTAGTTTGGAAGGAGCTTGTTCAAACATACATTGTAAAATATTGGCTAATAATATGAAAACTTTCAATTATAAACTTATGTGGGACATTCTTTCACTAAAAGTTAAACCAAGGATTAGACATATTACTGGAAATGATTTATGTGTACTTTGTTCTCAAGAACCCGAGTTTATATCTCATTTATTTTGGAACTGTGCATTTACACAAAATGTATATGATTATGTTTTTTCAGTTGTATTAAAAATAAACAATTGCGAGTTAAAAAATATTTATAAAACATGTATTTTAATAGAACTAAATAAACAGTGTTTTTCACATTTATCATTAGTTGAACGTAATGCAGTCATACTTCTTCTGTGTACTGCAAGATATAAAATATGGTTAGAACGTAATGCAGTTATTTTTGAAAATGTTAATCCAAGTGTAAATAGTGTCATAACAAGAATTAGAAAATCCCTTTTAGCAAGGAGAAATATAGAACAACTTAGACATAATCCTAGTTTTATAAAAGAACTAGACATAATTTGTAAGAATCTATGACTAATTGTATAAATTTTTATTTTTCTGCTATAAATTAAAAACATATAAATTAATGTATATTTACTGATGAACATGGGAAACTTTTTCTGGAATCAACAATGGAATAATATGAATTGCTGGATAATACTGGATGATGTTTACAAATATATCTGTTTATTATATGTAACTATGTTCTATGATTATTATTTTTTCATCATTTATTTATTTTTACAAAACTGTTATGAATCCACAACGTGGACCTTTAAAAAAAAAAAAAAAAAAAAAAAAAGAAATCTATTAAGCGAATTTTTTTTTGAACATTTTTAGAATTCACAAATCTTTGAGGTTTTTATCGCTGTTCATGAAATATCAAGTGTAGGACTGTTGTGTGGTAGCTACGAGAACAGGGGAAGTCAATGACGTACCGGTACCGGTACCGTACCTACACAATCAAACCATACTACCGTACTATACCCACAGGCTACGGTACTGCGTACTGCTACGTACCGGTACCGTACCACAGTACAGCAGTAGACTAAGATAAATTCAATTTTAATTCTCGGTCCGCTGCCCTATGACTCTATTTGTAATGAGACAGTACCGGTACCGCGTACCGGTAAACATATCTACCATTACTGCATTATTGGATATTTCCATTGTAGGCTAGACCGGGGCTACTCAACTGGCGGTCTGAATCCGGACCTTTCGGGTATTCGTCATTCGACCACGCCTGATTCAGTAATTCTTTATTTTGGATTATTAGCCCCACTTTTGAAGTTTCCTTTTGTAAAAAATAACTTTTATGGATTTAAATATATATGGAAAGAACTACCGGTACCGGTACTAGTATAACGCCATAATAAACAATCTTGAATAGTTAATAATCATTAGTCTGCAGAGGAAGTGCTGAAGTGTGTGTTTAAGGATGTCGAAATATAATTTCTGGAAAAGACCGGACCCAAATATTTTTGAAGTTTTGGATGCGGATCTTCGGTAAAAATAGTTGAGTAGCCCTGGGCTAGACAAACAATCCGTTTAGTAGCAATAGATCATCCTCTGTTGTACTTTTGGGTCTAGTATAGTTTAGTACCACAAGTACTTCCGGTGGGCATAACTGACTGTGCCATCCAAAAATTACGTCACTACGACGTCACCATAACATCATAGGGATTGCCAAAGTATAATTACGATCGCCCGAAATGACATCTGCGCCGCCGATAACGAACTTGCTAAAGCCGGCGATCTCTCTCCTATTGTGATCGTTGTGACGAGAAAACGGGAGAAATTGATTGCTCGATTTCGGGTGATCGTCTGCGCGTTTCGGACGACCATCCGCTTACTTCGGTGGGTCTTATTACGCCACTGTGACGAAATGGCGAAATTTTTCGGTGACTTAGTCAGGTGGGGGTTAGGATTGACATATGCAAAAACATATGCAAGTAAATAGCAAAATCTTTTGTACGAGAATTTCTATACTGTTCATAAATGAAGGAATTGTTTTTCAAGTTTTTAATTTGAATCAAAAAAGAAACTTCAGTTTCATAAACTTATTAAAAAATAGGGGGCTTTTTAATAGGTTGCTAATATGCTCTAATGGGTCGGAGATTGTATACCGAAATTGTTTTAAGCGTGATTCAATTTGAATACTGAGATATCTAAATCAGGGTTACCCAAACTGGGGGGCGAGCGGTCGAGCGGCAAATTTTAGGGGTCACGAAGGGCACACCAATTTCACACAAAGTTTGATATTTATTGAAACTAGTGCAAAACATAATTCTCACGATTTCGAATATGATCAGAGTAGCGGTGCGCTTGCATAACAATGCCGGTTTTGATTGTTAGACCAGAGAAGTGGCGTGTTTCCAAATCAACCGTGGGCCGCACAGAAGTATCTAGCGGGTCGTATGCGGCCCGGGGGCCGTATGTTGTGCAGGCCTGCACTATTATGTTGTTGCTTATAGCAAATTTTGCAAAAAGATAGGTGGCAAGTGTTAATTAGATTTAGTGATCAAACTATTACTTCACAGAATCTCTAACACATGTAATAATGTTTTTCAAACTTTATATTATGTAAATACAGAAATAGCTTTTGCTGGTTTTGATAGTTCATAGTTCATAAAATATTTACAACAACATGTCATCAGGAGATGCGAAAACATCTGATAAAGATGTTGTGGAACACGATGAAGAAAAACCGGAGACAGAAGTTGATGATGAATCAGCTACTTTGAATGCAGATGAAACGCCACAGTCGATGCCTTCAGGTAAATATGTAAATCATTGTTGAAAATGACACTGAAATTTTATGTTGTGTTTTAAAGTGTATGTCCCGAAGGATATGAATTTTGATTGTTTCTTAAAAGCTGCCTTTGAAGCAATTGCAGTTTCAAGTATTTCGTGGCGTCTGAAGCTGCCACAAAACCATGGCGACTGACTTTGTAGCTGCCACAAACCAGTGGGGAGCTGCTGTTACCACGGCAGCAAATTGAAAACCAACGGCAGATAAAATTTTGCTGCCGTAACCACGGCATGTCGGCTGTAATGGCAGGGCTGCCCCTGATGGTAATAAATAAGAACTGCGCCTCCTTTGTAGGGTGAAAATTGGTGCCATTGTTCTTTCGCTGAATATTTCAAAACGAAAGCTATTTTGATATAATTGTGATTATGATCTCATTCTGAATTTTCCCCATCAAGTTTACCATAAATGTCTGATATAAGGATCTTAAATATTAAATTACAAGCCAATAAGCTCAGGCTTTCACCTTTCCTCTATTCAACAAATACTTTGTCACCGTTAGTTGAGTTGATAAAATTTATTGTAAATGTAATCTGATGTTGAATGGATTAATATCTGTATTATTGAAAACGTTCAGATAAGGGAATATAGCTTTTCTGATGAATATCCTTGGACTTGGTTGATTTATCCCATATCATCCCCGTCATCTTCAACTTCTTTAATAATGAAAAATTAAGAAAAAATTACATTTAAAAAGGAATCATCGGAAAACATATTTTCAATTTTATACTTCTCATAAAGTTTATCATAATTTGGCATGTTTTGTATTTTTTTCTCAGCAAGTCAAATAACCGCAGAGATGATGCAGAATCCACAGGTTTTAGCTGCTTTACAAAATCGAATCGAAGATATGGTTGGAAATTCATCAGGATATATTGAAAGGTACGGTATGTTAAAAAGTGTAAATGACCCTGGAAAGATGCTTTTTTCAAAGAATCGGGGTATATCTACTTTTCAATGTATTCGAATGTATGTATGTTTGCAATTTGTGTTGCGAGGTATCAAAAGACTGATGCTTCAGTTAGTTGTCATCGGAAATGTTTTGCTACCTATGCACTTCTATTAAAATTGCTGTGCTGTGTTTTGTGGTGCTGAATTTTCAAGAGCATTTAATTTCTTTATATACTTGTAGGCCATTGTAGAATATAAATTTGATAAAATAAATAGGTTTATTACATAGCCTACATTCCAATCATTGGAAAAATTTTCATTTCAGTTATTTTAATTTCATTTTGCTGTAATTTTTCAGCCTCCCTAAAGTAGTGAAAAGACGGATACATGCCTTGAAAAATCTTCAAGTCAAGTCAATGAATATTGAATCAAAATTTTTTGAGGAAGTCCATGAATTAGAAAGAAAATATATGGCGATTTATGCACCATTATTTGATAGGGTAAGTTTTTTTTGTTTATATGAATTCCTTGCAAAATGAAAAGATTCAAGATAGTTCAGAAGTTTGCATTGCAGAGATTTTGCATTGGCATAGCCCACCTAATTTGTTCCATATTTGTTTGCTTGATTCTATTTTATTAAAAATTTCAATTTGAAAATTTTCGATTGGTTATGAACTTAGAGATATTTAAACTACGGTTCAATTTGTTCAAAATATAATTGCTTTTTGATCAGGTACTAATATAAATGTTTTCTATCAAAAAGGTAACAATTCCATTGAAATATTTTTTTTGTGTAGTTTGGCTTATAAATAGTGCAGGTTTGTTCAAAACAAATCTAATATTCTAATATATAATTCACTCAGTGTATGTTTGTAATCGAAAATACTTTTATAAACACCTCATTAAATGCTGTTTGGAAGATTGGACTATTATTAAAATAATCATGTTTCCATTTCTAATTCCTAAATAGTGGAGATTAGTATTATATATTATACTATATATATATAGTATTATATACAGTTTACTATAACACTACTTAACTCATTGCAGGAAGCCACTTGTTATTATACGTCAATAATAGAACCGTCGCTTTGTTGTAAGACTCCAAACGATGTCATCCTATCCTGGGCTGCTAAATAAGCAGATGTTAGGAATCTCTTTTATAGACAGTTGTCATGTACATTACAGTTGTTTTCAATTAAATGTTTTTCCAATCATTTGACCTTTTCAGAGGAGAGACATTATTCAGGGAGAAATTGAGCCGACTGATTCAGAGTGTGAGTGGCATAGTGAGGATGAAGAAGAAGACGAAAATACTAAAGAAAATAAGAAAAATAAAAATGAAGAGGTGAGAGCAACAATATTTTATATTGCAATACAAGATATTATTTTCATAGTACAATCTTTTGCTAATTTCAATCATCGGTGTAATTGGATATTATTAACAAATGTTCGATGTCGATATATATGTTTGATAATTAGTGATATAATACATTCAAAACCATTGGAATCAGTTGGTAATCAGAAATGCTGAAACCAGCTTCACTATCCACTCATCTCTCAACACTGAAATTGATCAAGTTCATGCCATTTCTATGCAGTCGACTTATGGGTTATAACCTATAGGATTAGGATGGTCATCATCATCATCAAGCCAGAACATTCTTTGTGTTTTTTATTCTGTCATTTATCTGTATTTGTTTGAGGCAATCTACCCTGGTTTTCAGCGGGGGGTTCCGACCGAAATTTACACAGTGCAACCACGACGTAAGTCGCAACCCCACTTGGTGTCGCCCCGCTGAAACACGATAAATTGCTCGTGGTTAAAAGGGAAACGCCATCGATAAAATCCCAGCCTTTCGCTTACCTTGCACTCGTTCGTTAACGGCGCTTCGCTATGTCTTGCACCCCGTGGGTAGCAAAATGCCGTTCATTACATTCCAGCGAATTGCTAACGAAAAGCTGTTAAATATTTTCAACGTTTCCCTCGCTTTGCGCCTCGTGGATAGTGAAACACAGCTTGAATAAATTCCAGTGTTTCCCTCGTGTCGCGACTTGCTCGTTGGGTGAATTCGTCAAGACTAAAAACAAAATGCACTTCTTGCGAATGGACCTTTCCCGACCCTAACTCCAGAAAAATTCTAAACTAAACTGAAGCTCACTGGAAGACATAATGACAATTAAAATAATTGATTTACAACTAATTTTAGGAAACACAACTAAAAACTGACTAATTTAATGCAGGCATGTCCAAATCGAATTTAAATTCTAATATCGCAAACTTCAAATACTGTTTTTTCGTGTTTATAATAATCCCGAATATGGCGCACATATCCTAGCGTCGTCGTCCATGTGTGGTTCGGCAATATATTACAGCTGACGTGAAAAAAATTTCGATAAATGCCGACTTGAAAAACTTATAAGATTTCGAGGACGTTTTTGATTGAAAATATCTTCTTATCGTGTATTTTAACTTAGTCGAGATGGTTTAGGCGTCCTTGGCAAATTGTGTCTTAATTAGTTGTTTTTATCCTCAGTTTCGATAGTGACCGAACATAACAGGAAATTTTTTCATTTCTTGTAATTTAGCGCGTATAAAATAGCTCTCAAATAGTATTTAATATCTATCGCGGATTTCGTCGGCATCCGGCGTTGATGACAACATCGTTCAGTTTTGAGGTAACATATCTCATATTCGAATACAAACATATACGCGGGGATAGCGATTATTACATAACTAACAGCAAAAAGTATGAATGAAGTCGGGCGGTGTTAAATTACGTCGAGGTGATAAAGCACTGGAAAAAAGTAGTTTTCACGTTGTTTGAACGTAGAACAATAATAAAATAAAAACGAATTTCAAACGGGGGGGACATGACCCCCGTAACCCCCCCCCCCCCCGCTGGTTGCGCCACTGAACATATCTACCGTATTTCTTCGCATCTACGCAGATCTGGCATAAAAGCCGACCCCCTAAAAAGGGGCACTATATGTTGAATTTATAAAAATTCACATATATAAGCCGACCCTACAAATCGCACGCTCTTGTTGTGAGAACTTAGCATGGTTCGAGTTGTAGCTGTTGGTATTCAGTTAGCATAATGTCATTTTGTTTAAGTGATCAAAGTTAGGCGCGAATGAGCAACTCATTTTTTTAGTTTTAAACTAGGCTTATATGCAAGTATAGTATTCTTTTATGGTCTTGAGATTGTATATCATGTTGGGTTCTCGATGTTCAAAAGTAATAATTATTTCTACTGTATGGTCTCCAGAAAAGTAATTTTTGTCTTTAATTGCTTACCAGTTTGAATAACAATCAGAAACTCGTGACAAGAATCTGCTAACCGTAAATTATGTGTTTACCTTGCATAAAAATAATCCTTAATTATGTGAGATGTGACTAACGTTAACCTGACAGTGACACTATGTTGGTTTGGTTGCTAAATAAATGGTAGATCTGTACCCACTTATATGAGATCATGTAACTTATCATCACATACCAGCATAAACTGTACATTACAGATACATACAAAGCTGAGAAACATTCCATTTTAGAAGAAACAGTATGAAATTTATTTATATGTATAAATGTTGTCACTGATTATTAATAAGCTAAATAAAGACAAAAACACAATATGTTGTTTTGATCATACAAATTAACAAAATAAAATCATCTTTGTTGAATGATGTAGAAAGTTGGGAATAATATGTAAATGGGCTGAACTTTGTCAGGCTGTTCTATAAACGACTGCTAAAATGCAAATTCCTCAGGAAATTATTTAAAATTGTTTATGTCAACTTTTGAATGGCTACAGTTGATTAAAACCATCCCAATGATTCACTGATTCTCATTTTTATCTCTTGGAATAGATATAGTTATATTGTTTGAAAATAAAGTTTGATAGTATAAATGCTTGAATGTATGACATTGATTTTGTTTGGTATAATGACCATATTGGTGCTTTTTTTATAATTTTGTATAATTTTTTTCCTTGGATTTTGGTAAACCATTATGCAAATTATATGATGAAACTATTTTGAATATAATATTTTTTGCATTATCCAACCCTTCAATATTTTTGCTAAAACTTTCAATTTTAATTTGATAAATTTTAGCATTTGGGGTAGTTCTTGTGTAACAGTTTTAGGCGACACTGGAAAATGGAATTGAAAAAGTTCCACTGATAAAATCAATATTTTGTTCATTATTGGTGTACAATTCTTTTTTAACCAAAACAGATCCATTTTAAGAATTCACAAGGGTGAACTGAACTGCTTCGTTTTTTTTACTTCATAAGAATCTTTCCCAGCCCTCGATGTCCATCCTACACTTTTGAGTTGTCCAATTCAATCAGACAGGCGGGTTTGGAAATGATGTAGTGAATGTCACTTTGTATTCAAATATGAATCTGACGTGTTCAGTTATTGTTAATATACAATACTCTGGGGATTTAAGCAGAAAATAAATTTTAAATTCCCTGGAGAGGTTTGTGTCAAAAGCATGTATGTAGACAGAGTACCCGCTTGTGAAATATCAAACTCTTCAATCCTAAAATTTTGAAATTCTACCAACCAACAACTCCATGACTAATAATACATTTACTTGGTAATTGCGTAATGTTTCTTGAATTACATAAACATTACTCTCAGACAATTCATTTCTCCTTTGAAATAAACTCATGTTGAGTGTCTTGGAACTTCTCTTTTGAAATATTTGTCCGGAATCAATTAGCATCAACCTTTCATTTGATTGAGAATGTTACCGAACTTGGTTATCATGTGATATATGCCTGCGACTTTGTGTTCTCTCTGACAATATATAGGTTATACTTTTTAGTAATACTGCATGTGTATAATGCTAGACAATTGACTGTTATTTGTCTATTTATTTCTTCCATTACAAATAATTTTATTTTATTTCAAACAGAAAGCAGTTGAAGACAAAGTAAATGGAGATGAGGAGATCATAGATGGTATGTCTTTGCGGACTAAAATTCGATTTTGCTACCAAATCAACCGTTAATTATAGTGTTTGGTGTCCTGTCTGTTCTGGTCGGTCAGACACTAATTTAGAATGAGTTAAAAAACATTAAGATCAAGTATAGCTGTTTTTCAGTTTCCAGAAACTTCCTACCTGATCTGCATATTCTTAGGCATGTTATTGTGCTTATTTAGTTAATGTTACTTCATATGTGTCATCAAGTTGGTTTTAAGTTAGGACTAGGCTTCACTTTGATTGTTTTAACTATTTAAGTTAAATGTCTAAAATAGTTCATTCCAATTTTACTATGATTACAGATATTAAAGGAATCCCAGAATTCTGGTTGACAATATTTAAAAGTACTGATGTGCTCCAGGATATGATACAAGATCATGATGAGCCTATTTTGAAATCACTGAAAGACATCAGAGTTAGTTTTTCAGAGCTGAATGAACATATGGTGAGTAGAAATCGTCGATGGCAGTATGGCTTGACAATGAAAATCTTTCGGATAGGTAGGCTTTCGGTATTTTTGGCCCCATGTTTTTTGCAGTCTTATCAATATAATTGTGTTACTTTCATTAATTCCTGAATTAAACATCTAATTATGCTTGACCAAGTTGTTTCAAACTGCTCAACACTCTTGCGTGCAACAGCCGATTTCTCAAAATTTACCTGTGGGTGCCACATATTCAATAAAATTCTCTCATATCTTTAGTGGTTAGTGATAATCGTGAAGGTAATCTACAATCTTCTTGGCTTCTCGACGAAAATCATCCTGTGATCGGGAGCGATTAGATAGCATAGGCCTACTGATCAACCCAAAAATCGATATATAATCGGTGGCTGGTTAACTGATTGAATTTTGTTTAACAGGCTTTCACTCTGGAGTTCTTATTTGAACCAAATGACTACTTCACCAACACTTCATTGAAAAAACTATACAAATTACGTGCTCAGCCTGATGATAAAGATCCTTTCACATTTGATGGACCTGAAATAACAAGTTGCACTGGGTAATGCAAATTTTACTGTGCTTCTGGTCAGAATAATTTTGCTTTATACACTTTGTATCTGCCTGCAGGCATACATTTCTACTAAAAGATTTCTCAAAACAAACTGTCTGCCCATGCAATGTATTTTTTTGAGTTAGTTGTAGAATAATTCTTGTGAAACAGGGTGATCTAACAAAACAGAAACCAGATCATTCAGAACATATTCTAGAGAGACCATAAATTTTTGTGCAAAGTTTTAGGTACAATCAATTATACAGAAACAGAAGTTCAAGTGTTAAAGGATTTTTTGGTTTCTTTTTTTTGAGTCACCATGTACTCGAGTCTTATTTTCAAGTTGCCAGGCACGAAGTTACCCTTTTAATACTCAAGTTCAATAACGATATTAACATGCAAGCCCAAATAGGTGATGGATGGATGTAGGGATGGGCAATATAGAATACCGAATCCGGAGGATTCGAATCCCAAAGTATTCGAATCCAACAGGATCCGATAACAGGATTCGGTTTCCGCCTCTCCGGCGCCATGCGTCGATTTTTGCATTTCGGGTTTCTAAATATCAATTAAAGACGAGCGTTTTTCTCGCGTGGAAATCTCTCTCGTTTAACTAGACTTGCGTCTGCTCGGAAAGAACCCGTAAAATCGGTAAACTTCAAACACTGTAATCTCAATCGGCGTATTCTGGACAGGAAGTCGGCGAAGTACATCTCAAGACTCGTTATTGCACCATTTTTGCGTTTTCGCCGGGCGTCAATTTTTGTATTTCGGATTTCTAATTTATCAATTAAAGACGAGCGTTCTTTCTCGCGTGGAAATTTCTCTCGTTTAATTAAACTTGCCTAATCGCAAAGAACCCGTAAAATCGGTAAACATCAAACACAGTAATCTCAATCGGCGTATTCTGGACAAGAAATCGTGAAGTACACCTTACGACGAAGACTCGTTATTGCACCATTTTTTGCGTTTTCCTGCTTTGCTATCTAGCGTGGGTTTAATAATAATAATTATTTGTGCCGACTTACTGGCGATATTACGATAATCTGATTGCAACAATCTTCAATTGTTTACAGGCGTGCCTTGCTTCATTTTACATTACTGTAAATGATTTTCCGCGACCGGCGAGTTTTCCCCAGAAAATGATGCATGTAAATCAAAAGCCAGGCGTAAAATGTTATGACATTACTTGCGATTAATTTAAATCAAATATTATTTTGGAATAATTTTATTACTTTTATTACACCAGTTTCCGAAATACAAAGTTATATCGCATAACACGACGATCTGTCGCATTTAAATTTCACTCCCAAAAGATTACATATCTTTCGGTCCGTTTCTATCGTTCAAGATAGACGCACGTTTGATCGAGTGTCTGTAGTAATTTTATTCGCCGATAAACTTAAAAAAAAGATGCCGCATCTGGCGAAAATAGTTACGTATTGAGTTTGAGTAGAGCCAAGTCTGGGTAGATAATGATATGTAACAATAATAAAAGAAATTGAATTCGTCTTTAGATGATGTTAACTAATAACTAACTACGAAATCGCGTTTACGGGAACCTTGTTTTGCACGTCTTGATCGCACAGAATAATAAGTTGATTTTAATTGATAGTGGTTAAATTTAATATTTTACACCGGTGCATAGGTTGCAGTGGCCACACGCTGGTCCTGCATCTAATTAATTCTCAGCGGGTGTGTTTTAGTACACTCGACACTCTATAACATTAATAATGATTTAATGCCGTTTCATATCTATTTTTGTATTTAACCGCTTACTATTAAAGTGTTTGAAGCGTAATTTAGCATATAAGTATTTAGAGATTACATACATTTTGAACAATTGAAAGCAAAAATATTGTAATATTCTTAGATTTCATTGTCCTGGGAAATGCCTGTTTAGTATCAAATCAAATCCAATGTTAAGGACATTTCCAAATAAATAATACATTTATAGTAATACATTTATAATTTTTTGACATCTAAATCCAGCAATCAGGAAAATTCCCTCTATTTGAATAAGTATGAAAATAGAATAGGATTCGGTATTCTGGATTCGATTTAACTATTCTAGAATATTCTAGAATAGTAAATTATTCTACATTGCCCATCCCTAGATGGATGAAATGGTTTTGTCATTTCTATTAACTCGTAATTTGTTAAGACTATTTTCAGTCCGAAAGGTTTGCTTGAATATGTACAGGTGTAAAATAGATTGGAAAAAGGGGAAGAATGTGACGGTTAAAACTATTAAAAAGAAACAAAAGCATAAGGGAAGAGGAACTGTTCGTACTGTCAGCAAACAAATCTCAAACGATTCATTTTTCAACTTTTTTAGTCCACCTGAAGGTAAGATTTTGATTTTATGGCAGGATTTAATCAATTTCAGGTCTATTTTCAACAATATTTTATATGTCATTTTTAAGTCCAATATTAGGAATGGGAAATGACTGATGATATCATGATTAAGTTTCAACAAGTTTTATTATTGAGTAATTTCAAAATATATCTGAATCAGACATAAGACATTGAGCAGCGAAAAAATGATTGAGAAAATATGCTGCTAAAGTCGCATGGCCATTCTACCAAATTTGATATTGCTTTGGAGGAAATAGCTTTGCAATACCCTCGAAATATTGTTTAGTAGATATCAAGCAGCACTAAAATGCTATCAATTGAAAACAGCATTTTAATATTAATAAAACAATCTTTTATTTTATTTAGTTCCCGAGGACGCAGATGCTGAATTGGTAAGTTTTATTTTTGTATGGGTTATAATTTATTTCACTTTGCCCAGAACTATTTTGTGTTTTCACAAGTCGTTATTCGTGCTATTGATGAGTATATCAGCTATAATTTGCTATTTCAATTATTTTTAGTATGGTCAAATGAACCGCAGTTTTTGGCTCTGCTCTCTTATATGCTATTTTGACTTATTATTCAAGGACTCTGATACTGAAAACTTGCTCACAAGTGATTTTGAAATTGGTCACATTATTCGAGAGAGGATCGTACCTCGTGCAGTTCTGTATTTTACTGGAGAAGCTCAGATGGATTATGAATATGATGATGAGGAAGAAGAAGAAGAGGATGAAGAAGGACATGGAGTAAGATTTTTCAGAATATGTATCCACTATTTGCTACAAGCAACTCTTTGAAGAAATACTGAAACCTCTCCCAAAAGTCTAAAAAAGGCCCCAACAGATCTATTGTTCTGAATCATTCATACTACATAATGATTTTTCTATAAATTTTTTTAGTCCGGTGAAGATACAGATTCAGAAAACGATTCAGATTATGATCCTTCGGTTAGTGCTATTATTATTATTTCTATTTAACCCTTTCCATGCGATTTTTATTTTTTATTAAATAATCGTATTTGCTACGCCGATTTTATGCATTTGTGTACCCCCACAACTAATCGATCGACTGACGAAAAACTAATGATCCTCTGCTGCCCACTGTCGACTCGTTGAAAAGCTTTTTTAAAGAGCTTGCAATTGGCGATTAAAAAAAAAAGTTTTTTCAATAGTGGTGGTCTGAGTCACAAACCGGATAGAAAAAAGGCATTTTTTTTCCTTGGGAGTTGAAACTTCAAACCGTGATAAAAAATAGAAATATTCGCTAAATCCTTTACAGTTACCGCTTCGTGGTTGGCAAACAATAGCATAATATTGCTGTAGCAATTTCGTGATCTAACTCAAAATACTTTGGTAGATGGAAGGGATAATATGTTTTTCTTTACCACCCAAAAAACACCAAAATTTGGATAAAATTCAAAAACACTCCCTCGTTCCGCCGCGAATAAAATTCCCGTCGTAAACGAAAGCGAGATTTACCGTTGCTTATGTTAATCTCGAAGAAGACTTCTTATCAATAAACTAAAACCCGGAAAAACTAGACCAACAGTTTGCGACCGATTGCTAAATAAAACAGTGGAGTACATCAACGTACCCGCCGCAATCTAGCGGCTTTTGTTGTTGGTACGTATACGTGCCCACCGCACGGAAAGGGTTAATAACCATAAAATTTTCACTTTGTTGTTCCACAATATTGCCTGAATTCGCATTCAAAATGCGCCAAATTATGTATGCAGGGGCATGCATTTCTTGAAAAATTTCGATGGTGCAAGATAAATGTAAATCATCTTTGTGCGGCAGCTCAAGTGGCTGTGCTGTGCCCACTATACTATATTTAGAATATTGTAGTTAGGGCTGTCCAAAATCGAATATTTTTTTGATTCGAATTGAACCGAATATTTTTCTCAAATCGAACTATATATTATTGCGCAATCCTAAATTTGCCTTTAATGTACAATAAAAACTTCCTCTTCAATACTGTGATAATGTATGTGCAGTTATATCTAAATTATTGCAAATATTTTGTCTTTGCATACCTATGTTTCCAGAGTTATAAAAGGAGATCACAAGCCTCCTTGAACTGGTCAAAAAATTAGGGTTTCGAAAACTATCAAGTTTTAAGAGTTAGAAGAAATCACAAATTCTATTGGAAAAAGGTATTGGATCTCCAAAACGTATTTCAGTCCTGTACCATGTTCCTATGATTATTGACTCAACAGCTACAAATCGATTCTATTTATAGAAATGACGTTTTTGCTGACACAAAATTTGCCTTTTTCTCCTTGTATTCTCTCAAAAAACATCTTTAAATCATTGTTACCGATAACTTTTCATTTATGACCATGTAGAAACATGTTTTTGCTTGCCCGGTTGAAACGCGGTGCGAAGGTGGTCGTGAGGTGCATTATGTACTGAATTTTAGCGATTCGTTGGCCGAAAAACGCTTCGAATAATTTGCGATTCAGTTCGAATATTCGGTTCCCTTGGACAGCCCTAATTGTAGTTAATGATGTCATTTTTGTACCATGGCGGAGTTGTATTCATTTTCTGTATGCACAACCTTTCTTAACTGCTAGATGCCACTTCATGTCAGATGAAATATATATTAGAAAATTCCAGTCAATTGAGATTTTCATGTATTACCTGAACATTAGCTCAACCTATGCACAACGCAGTATGTGCACATAGCAAAGGGTGGGGATGAGTGTTGCTGCAGCTTGATTGCAGCTTCGTGGTAGCATGAGATAAGATGACAGATAGTTCACTTTGAAGTTGGACGGACAAGGTACAAAAATTGGCAACACACAAGACAAAGCGCAGTCCAAATTTTCCAATAAGGGGTCCAACTCAGTATGGTTGACCGAGGAACGTGATAGTTTTGCTGGCTATCGATTCCCACTCGGACGCCATTCTCTCATGTGCAACAGATGTTTCCCGGGCATTGACTAACTTATCTATTTCAGTAACAATTGGCAGTAAGGTAACAGTGATGTAAAATTTGAAGTTCGTGCAGCGTCTTGGACACTTTCTCACATAGGCAGGTTTTCAAGCAGGATCCGTTTTTGCTGTTTTGAGTGCAACTTTAAACATGTGTCAAAATTTAGACATAAATAGCTTAATGACCATTTTGTCTTCTCGGGCAGATTAACCAGTTTCTACAATTGAAAAGATCGCACATGGGAAAAACACAAAACTATTAATTGGCAATTGGATGATATCTACCACAAAAAATATAGATATATATATAGTAATGATGACACAAGACTTTATACTGGCTGACTGACTGGCACAAGACTTTATATAACGTAAATCCTTCCAATGAATAATAGTTGCCAAGCATGACCACTTGTAAAAGTTAATAGCGTTACTTTTTTTTGATGGCCGCGTTGCACCTGTCTATTAAACAGATTACCACTTCAAACCTTAATATTTTATATTTGCAGAAAGACCCAGGAACAAAGGAACAGCCACAGGAATGCAAGCAACAGTGATATATTTACTGTACATTCTCAATTGCTGCTCATGCAGTGTAGGTTATGCTTACTTGCTATATTTTAACTGCCCACTGAGGAAATAGTTACCTATGTCATGGATGGTGTGTTTGCCTCCTGTTCAGGTGTCTGAGAGACTTTTTTCAGTTAGTTGAAATTGTTACACAATACTTTGTCTCTGTAAAATAGGGTCTTTGTAAACCTTTTGTCTGGAATAAATTTCTGCCATCTTATTCCATTGATTCATGTCGTTGCTTTGGAGGGCCAGAAAAGGGGAGCGACAAAAGTGTTCAATGGCACGGCCGGGGTTCAGGGCGCGCTCCAGCGCCCTAAGAAAAATTTTGAGAAATAGGCACCAAAATAGGCTCTAAGCTTCATTTTAGATACACCTAGCATCGCAGTTTGTTATGTAATAAAATTAATAAATATAATAGTTGGCTGATAGAATTCCAGAGAAATAAAGAACAAGCACAGCTTTCAACAAGGAATTTAAAACTGATAGTTACTAATAACGTTACTTGCTCATCTAGCATATGGCATCGTATGAATGACTTCCTAATGGCTTGTTTTGTACACAAAAAACATCCCAATGTGTATATATATATATATATATATCAAAAGAACTAAATGCCAACATAATTTAGTTTAGCTAACATAGTGTATGTGTACATTGTATATATGTATAATCGAGTTCGCTCGGAATCATAAGTTCAAAACGTGGCTCCGATTCATTACATTGTATCCAAATAACGCATTCAAGTGATTGTCTGTCGGTCTCGACTAAGTTTTGATTTGTTAAGGTATATAATTGTGTTGTAAGAAAGACTGATGCTGAAAAGTTAACTTTTTATATTAGGAGAAATGATTTCCAAAACTTGCAGCATTTATTCGCGCGAAAATTCTCCTTCAACAACGGGCGATTCTTGTTAATGTTGCGGGCTACACTACTACACTGACTGACCAATAACGTAGATTCACTTTCATTTAATTTTTTTTTGATGAACATGGTGCTGCATGAACGCTGCCATTCATCTAAAAAACGTCTGTTTTCAGTGTCTAGTTTTTGTTGTATATATGCAACTTTAAAGTCAGTCAAGTTTTTAGCTCATTTGGATATTTTATGCCGTTTCCAGTTTCCAACCTCAATAAAAATCTATTCGAGATTGATGAAGTCTTTCCTCACATTAGAAACTCTTTCTCGGAGACTTTAACAAAACCTCAATGAAATTTACCTGCTTGTGCAACCGATATGATTTTTTTGTGACAACGCTTAAGTCAATATATTTACTGCTTTCAAATGCTGTAATATGATGCTTAATCTTTGCGAGTATGGGTGGTGGTAATGAAGCACATTGTTCAATTTCTTTTGCGCTGTCCGCTTCTGTTGTTTTCTTTTTGCCATTGATTTTGTTTATCGGCCTGAAAGTAATAAGCACACCAGACACTGTGGTTTGCAATTGTCGTGAGCAAGGAAATACGTTTACTCCCAGTTTCTCTCTCCAACTCTGTTTTCCTCTGTCACCATTCTTTTGACACTAATTTTAATTAAGATGATTTGTTATAATTGAAAAATTTTATAATTTGCAGCGTAAGTAGGCCAAGTGCTATCGTCAAAGAACAGCCAAGTCCACCAAGTTGGGATTTCGGGACCTAGCTAAAAAAAAGGGATCGCGCGGCGCAAAGTCATATATGCGTTTCGTCACTGCTGTCATAATGGCCCAAGCTTGAAAATAGAAGTGTGATTTGCTAAAATAAAGGTACAAAACGTCTCTCCAGATAAGGATTTGCTTGACGCGGGTTTAATTAAGGTGCAAAGTTGAGATGAAAAGCGCGACTCATCTCAGGCGGGCCCTGTCTGCACAGGACAATTGATTCGCCTTTCCACACTCCCTAACTCTTTTCATCTTATTGCTCCGCGCAATCTTCCTGTCATTTATTGCTTGATTATTTCTAGAAAACATAGCGCGCCGTTTTAACACGTACCGGTAATGGCCTCTCGACTCGTGAACTAACCGATCACAGGACGTCATTCCCATATCGGCACCGCCTTAACGTCCATAGATACAATCTTGAAATTCCGTGATTTTAACGAATCTCATTCCCGACATCTTGATTAGGTAAAGGGTTCAAATCTCGGGATCCCAACCCCAGTCGTAGGCCTAATAGCTAAAAATCTCAATAATGTTCTGCCAATAAAAAAAACAAAGAGCTGACAATGGTTTAGTCATTTAGTGTAGGCCTACGTAAAATTGTTCTGCGGCCGCACGGAATGTGTCGGGTTTGGACCACCCTGTTCTATATTTTGCATAAAACATTACAATACAAACATCGCATGACCTACTATCAGGGTTGCCATACCGTGCTTATTTCTAAGATTTGTACTTATTTTCTAGCCCGCGGACCCTTGTCTTAAAGATTGCGTGTGACAGTGACTCCATGTCTTTCCATACCCTTTTGCAATTTTGGAGCTGCGTACAACCATGTTCGAAGCGACTTCTAATGATAAAAAATGAGAACCTCGTGTATGATCTCCTTCTCATTCTGCCGTTGTTAAAACTCCTCCCCTTGAAAAATAACATTTTGACGCCCGTGCTTATTTTTGGCTCTGGGTAGATGGCAACCCTGCCTACTATCCTTATGGCAATGTCCCTGTTTTATTATTTATGATGTCATAAATTCTACTGTAACATCGTTACATAGAAGTGGAAGAATCATAATTAAGGCTGAATAAAAGGCTTAATATCTTTGATATTGTGGGATAAGTACGCGTAGGGTGTGTCCCACTGCGACTCAATGATACAGGGTAACTGGAGACGCGTCCTGTCCCTTGGGTCCCCAAATAATGTCTTCAATCTATGCACCAACTGACCAACACACACTGCAACCTGTACACCAACAATTCCGTAGACTTGTGTTGAAAGAAACTTTATTATCTTGTTTAAACACATCTAATGTTGACGTCAGTGATAACAGTGTTAGGGTTAGTGTCGGCGTTAGTGTTAGTGATAAATTGACTGTTTTTGACAAGGACTCAAAGAACAGCCATAAGTATGCTATAATACAAATAAAAACAATAAGTGACAGACGTATTCGATACAACAAAAAATACAGCAATCCTCACAACCTATCGGACAGTATATGGATAAACATAATCAGTTCAATTCTAGAATTCCTACCTGATAATCATTTAGTAATATAACCAGAAAATAGTAAAACCTATAAGCTATAATTTCTGCAGTCGCGCAGAACCCTCCCTAATAAGCAAAGCGCGACAAGCGTCTACCTCGTGGCAAGGAAAGTTCTAGAAGGCCGTAAAGCGCGGGGGAATAAGTGACTATTACGTCACAGTAAAATGGGCAATGTAAACTCACAAAGCGCGACCAACTTAAGGTGCTTAAAGTGAAGGACTCAAGGTTTCATAAAATGCATGCAAACATTTCTTACATACCGGTCCCGAAAATTATATGAAATGTTATATCGATAACAAGGAAAATGATTTTCAAAAAACAAGAAAGGTTTGCTTGACTTCCAAAAACAATTGAAAGGATAAACACAGTAACAAATTAATAAAGATAACGAAATTGTCAATGCAAGACCCCGAAAAAAAAGGGGGGGTAAAACCAAAAAATTATCTCCCTCAAAAAGAATTCAAAATAGACACCTAATACTCCCATAGTGAGAATGTATGTTATGTATGTGTAACTGTGTATGTGTGGTGTGGATGCTATTGCTATATATGTAATGTGTAAATGTTATCAAACAGCTTCAAGGAGACAAAGCTTCCTTATGTCACGCACATATGTTGAATTGGATGTGCGCACCTTCACTCGTCTGACAACTCCTTGATCATCAGGGTATGTTTCTTCTACGATTGCCTTGGGCCAACATCCTCTTGGTGAATTGTCATCGTACATCAGCACAAGATCTCCAATTTGAAAGTTGCGTTGAACATTGAGCCACTTCTGTCGGCACTGTAATTGGGGAAGATATTCTTTTGTCCAACGCTGCCAAAATAAATCGAGTAATCGTTGAACATGTCTGTATCCTCTTCTATATTCATCCGTTCGAAAGAACACATCAGGTGGTAAAGACGGTTCTAATCTGTTTATCAAAATTGAGTTGGGAGAGAGGGCATTCAAGTCCTTCGGATCATCACTCAGTGGTGTGAGTGGTCTATCGTTGAGAATTCCCTCCACTCCTGTAAGAAGAGACCATAATGAGTAGTCATTGAGAGACTGGCCATCCAAAAGATCTCGGAGAATTCTTTTCACCTCTCGTACCATTCTTTCTACCACTCCATTTTGGTGACTAGAAAGAGGAGGCGAAAAATGCCATTGTATACCCTTTTGAGATAGAGATGTGTCAATCAGTTTGGAATTCCATTTGTTTATACCATCTGCAATAGCTTTGCTTCCAGCCACCAAGTTGGATCCATTGTCTGAATAAACATGAGCAGGTTTCCCACGTCTAGATGTAAACCTGAAGAAAGCTTGCAGGAATGCTGAAGTATCCAAGGATTCTACAACTTCATATGTATTGCTCTTGTAGCCATGCATGAAAATATACAGCCATATCGTTTATGTTCGCTTCGCCCCAATTTGATTCTTACAGGGCCAAACAGATCAACTGCAGTGTAGTAAAATGGTGGGTTACCTGCAGTAACACGAGAAAATGGTAGATCTGCCATCCACTGCCTCCTACTTTTGCAGAACGTCTGTTGCAAGCAACACAGTCACGAACAACTTTAGCAACAGCAGATTGTCCTATCAATAGCAACAGAGGCATAAATTGGATATGTTTTGGTAATAATCAGTTTTGTCACATGATGGTATGGTGGAAGAATAATCGGATGCTTCTGATCAACTGGTAAACCAGAGTTTCGAAGTCGTCCACCTACACGCAGGATTCCATCTTGTACAAAAGGGTTGCATTTGAGAAGTGTTTTCGAAAATTGTGTTTTGAGTTTCTTTTTGTTCTGTAGATTCAACGGTACTTCCTCAGCATCTGTATTATCTTCAAAATATTTGAGCTCCTCTGAGAGGGATGATTGTTGTACTAGTTTCATAATTTCTTTGGTGGCGCAATCTAATTCCTCCACAGATAAAAATCCCAAAGTTGGTGAATTGTCAGAATGTGAGAATTTCCAAGTTGCATATGTACGAAAACGTAGTAGCCATGCAACAGCTCTACGTAGCTTTTCGAATAATGAGTAACGCAATAACAGTTCATGTAATGGAGAAGAATCTGCGAGATCTTCATAGGTTCAGTATAATGAACTTTCATCTCCGAAAAGTTGTGGGTCGCATGGGACTTTATGAATCCCATCATTAACCATGGTCCATGCATCTTCACTTCCCCATATAAATTGTGGGCCTTTGAACCAAATACCAGCCTTGTTTAGTTTATCTGGCATTAGACCACGAGAAGCAATGTCGCTGGATTCAGCTTAGATTCGACATGGTGCCATTGATGTGGTTTTGACAAGAGATGAATTGTGTTTATTCTGTTGGCCACAAATGTCTTGAAGCGTTCAGAACGATTATTGATCATCTGGATAACTGACATGGAATCTGACCAATATATAACGCTGTCAACTGTATAGTCCAGTTCTTGTAAAATTGAATTGCAAGTTCAGCAGCCACAACTGCAGCGATGTTCCAGTCGTGGAATAGTCAGTGGCTGCTTAGGAGTTACTCTAGCGACTCCCCTGACAAAGGAACAATGAACTTCACCTTTGTCGCCAGTAAGTCGTAAGTAAGCTGATGCTCCATAGCCAGATGTGCTGGCATCACAAAAACAATGTAATTGGATATTGTTGCTTTTGAACTCTTGTGGTTTGTAACATCGAGGGATCGCCAGGCCATTCAATGCATGTAATTTATCGATCCATTTTTCCCAACGGTCCTTTAGTAAACCAGTAATGGGGTCATCCCATGAGTATCCTTCGATACAAAGATCCTGTAGAATTCGCTTGGCAGGTAAGATGAATGGTTGAACGAAACCCAAAGGATCGAAGATTTGACTCACCATTGAAAGAATGCCTCTTCGAGTGAGCGCCTTTGGTTCAATGTTGACATATACTACAAATTCATCAGTGTGCATGTTCCACTGAACACCTAGGGTTCGACTGAGTGAATTACGTTCAAGATTGAGGTCTTTAATTGCAGGAGCACGATCACTTTCTGGAACTGATTGCAGAACATTGATATCATTGCTCATAAATTTGGTGAGGTGAAATCCTCCAGTTGCCAACAATTCAGTGAGCTGTTTGATTAGTCTTACAGCATCTGATGGATCATCGACAGATTTCAGTCCATCATCGACATAAAAATTCGCATAACGTGCGTACTGTCATTTCATCTGCATTCGACAGATTGTCTGTGGCTACTTTGTGTAGCGCAAATGTGGCAACAGAAGGTGATGAAGTGTTCCCAAAGTTGTGGGACAACATTTTAAAGTCAATGGGAACACTATCCAAATTATGGTCTTTCCACCATAGGAACCGCTGAGCATCTGTGTCTTCAGGTGAAACTTTAATTCTGTGGAACATTTCTTTTATGTCACAAACAAATGCAGTCAATTCTTGCCTGAATCGAATGAGCACTCCTGTTAGCATGTTGTTGTTGTCAGGACCAGAAAGCAAATTTTTATTCAATGAAGTTCCTTTACACTCAGCAGAACTGTCAAAAACAACTCTAAATTTAGATTGGTGTGTGGCATGATGTGGAATGTACCATGTTTTATTTGTGGGTGTGAGTGCATGTGATGGGATTACTTCGGCGTAACCATTCTGAATATAACCCTCAATTTTATCTCTATATTTCTGAAATAATTCGGGGTCCCCCATGAATTTACGTTTCAAATACGTTAGTCGCTTCTCAGCGATATTACGGTTATAGGGAAGGCTAACAGTGTCTGACTTCCATGGAAGTCCAATTTGAAACCGACCATCAACCTTGGTCACAGTTTGGTTCATAAAATCAAGTGCCCTTCTATCATCTTGGGATGGCTGAGTAATACATGGGTTAGCATTGACATCAGCAAAATCATGAGCACACATATGACAAATAGGTTCATTAAAATAGAAAAATCAGTAAAATTACAATCAAATGGTTGTAGTATTCAAATAATTGACTTCTGCATTGGTCTCTGCAATGCTTACATCTGGGCCAGTAAGGGCCCAACCTAGGATGGTGTGTAATGCAGTGGGGGATCCAGCTGCACCCACCCGGGTTTCGTAATTGGGTAACGACCCAGGACATCAGCCCCAATAAGCAAATCAATCGGTTTATTCAATAGGGGAAATCTAGGTCCCGTAGGTGAGGATAACGCTGTGTGGCCTCAGTGTTTGGTATTGAATCTCGTACATCGGTATCGAGTCAAAGGTCAGGGCATGGTGAACATCAACGGTCTGTGGTTCATGGACACCCTAATAGTAAATGAAACTTTCATGCCATCATGAAGTTTTGGACCAGTGGCAGTCCGTATTGTACATCTCTCTGGCTCACCATTGAGAGCCAAATCCCTAGCTAATTTAGTGGAACACAAGGATCTAGTTGCCCCATAATCTAGGAAGGCATATGTCAATGACTTATGGTTCGAATCACAAACTTCTACCTCAACAGGGACAACCATGAGCCTTACAAAACAATCAGTATCACAAAAGTTGACAACATTGGCAAAATAAGAACTTACATTTGTTGAATTGACCTTACTATTAGTGTCCGTGGGTATATTTCCGGTCACAGGTGATCGTGGCCTGGTTGGCATTTCATTCTGATGAAGTAGTGTGTGGTGCTTCCGTGTACACCCATCAGCTTGGCAACGTTTCTGAGACGGACATTCCTTGACGATGTGTCCGGATCTCATGCAGTTGAAGCATAAATTGTTCTCTCGAATGAAATCACGACGATGTTGCAGGTCATATTGTTTGAATGTTGCGCAACGATATAAAGGGTGATCGTTCTTGCAACATAAACATAAAGTTTGTGGGTGCTTTTGGCTAGCACCATGAGCTTGTTGTCTTCCATTGTGATGTGTTGGTCTGTAAGCAGGTGATGAATTCCTCTTCTGTGATGTTGAAGAACTGATTGTAGAATAGGCAGACATTTTCCCAAAGCGAGGTTTAAAATTTTGTACTGCCCTGGGCTTGTTGTCATTTTCTGCCATTAAACGTCCATAAAAATTATTACTGAGATGGGCTCTCAGTTCAACAAATTCCAATAAATGAGTGAATGAAGGAATCGGATGATTCTTCCAAGAAGTGTCATGTACATAATCTGCTTGTAATGTTGGTGGCAGACGACGAAATATATCTTTTAGATAAGCTTGTGCATCCAGCATTTGTTCAGCTTTCCACTGTGTCAGAATAATAAAACAGTTTCTCATCTGTGACGCAAGTCGACACAGTGCTTTAGTATCATTGGCTCTTATTCTAGGTCCTTCTGTCAGTTGGCGGATGTGAGCGTCAATGACTAGTGTACGATTTCCAAATCGATACAGTAAGGTGTCTCGTGCTGCTTGATATCCTTCGCTTGGAGAATCGACAATTACAAGATGCTTAATAGCATCCTTGGCCTCACCAGTGCACATCTGTATAAGTTGAGCTAATTTCACCGCAGGTTCATAGGCGTGATGACCAATATGTTGTCAAATCCACGCATGAATGCATGATAGCTTTTGGGTCACCATCAAAAGTTATGGGGTCAAGTTTAGGCAGTGTGAAGCCTTGTTTCATGGTGTTTGCCAAAACATACAAATCATCTCTGCTGGGATAATTATGATCCAATTGTTGAGATGGATATTCCGGGAGTACTGAAGTGTGAGGATCAGGTCTTGAAATTACTGGTGGTAGTGCAGGATAGGAGGAAGATAGGACCTTAAGGCGGTGGCATCCAACAGTCATCTCTGGCCATTGATGACATAATGGGTCGGGTAGGCAAGGTACGAAGGGGCTCAGGATAAGTCACAGGGCAAAAAATTTGTGGGTAGGTAAAAGTTGGTTCACAAATAGCAGGATACGAAAATGATGTGCCTGTAGATGCCGGCCCCATTGGGGATATGCAGGTAACGTATTATCATGGTAACTTGATGAGACGGTGGGATATGACAAATTCCTTCTTGCAGTTTGGTGAGATAACGCCGGCCCCATAGAGATACCTGGGGTCGTCACAACAGGCAAATTTTGTAATGGTGCAATATTATCATGTATAGCTGAAGGTACAATTGGTAAGGTGCCAGTGGTATTTATAATTCTATGCAGCTGTTGGCTCCTACTGATAACAGGCGTCGAATTACACAACGTAAGCTCAGTAATACTAGCAGAAGGCATTGTAATGGCCATACCTGTAGAAGTGCAATTGCTGAGCTGAGAATGCCAGTTATTCCACCTCCTGTTGAAACTTGAACAGAAGGTTGCATGACGTTACAGGATATTCCGGCACATAATTTCGCAACTTCAACGCTGGGGGTGGTTCAAACAGTGTTTCATCAAGAGCTTGTACTTCGATCAATGAACTTATTGAGGATTTTGTACTACTGGCTGCTATGATCTTCGCTCTTTGTTGTTTATAAAGTGCCTTTCTCTCCTTTTTCTCAGCTTGAAGTTGGCAAGTTGAGATTCAATTTGTGCCTCCTCTTCTAATTCTTCAGCTGCCTCCAGCTCCAGCAATTCGCTTTGTGGAAGAAGTTGTGCTACTAGTCTTTGAATGTGAACGTTTTGATTTTCTGGAACTTGCTTGGGATTGATCACTAGCAAGGCATTCTTGTTGATAATGTCGATATTTCATATTACATGAATTTTTCATATCATTTAGCTGAGTTAAATACTGTGAAGCGTTTTGAATATTCATGGCATCAGATTCTGTTGTTGCTGAATGCGAAGTAATGTAATTGTTCAAATATTCCTCCCAAGTAGCCACTGCATTATCCAGTCTATCTTTTGCAGCAACTACATTTTTTCGATTATTTGGAATATTCATCAGTCTATCAAGACTGGTAAGTAATGTAGTGATGTTTCGATCATGAACGAGTCGAATTGTTTCCAGTGTCTGGATTTCCAATGCTGTGCTGGTGTGAGACACAGCAGATTGAAGAATTTCATCATTTAAAGCCATCAGTCAATTTATTTCGATGTGGGATAAGTACGCGTAGGGTACGGTACCTAATGTGTCCCACTGCGACTCAAAGATACAGGGTAACTGGAGACGCGTCCTGTCCCTTGGGTCCCCAAATAATGTCTTCAATCTATGCACCAACTGACCAACACACACTGCAACCTGTACACCAACAATTCCGTAGACTTGTGTTGAAAGAAACTTTATTATCTTGTTTAAACACATCTAATGTTGACGTCAGTGATAACAGTGTTAGGGTTAGTGTCGGCGTTAGTGTTAGTGATAAATTGACTGTTTTTGACAAGGACTCAAAGAACAGCCATAAGTATGCTATAATACAAATAAAAACAATAAGTGACAGACGTATTCGATACAACAAAAAACAGCAATCCTCACAACCTATCGGACAGTATATGGATAAACATAATCAGTTCAATTCTAGAATTCCTACCTGATAATCATTTAGTAATATAACCAGAAAATAGTAAAACCTATAAGCTATAATTTCTGCAGTCGCGCAGAATCCTCCCTAATAAGCAAAGCGCAACAAGCGTCTACCTCGTGGCAAGGAAAGTTCTAGAAGGCCGTAAAGCGCGGGGGAATAAGTGACTATTACCTCACAGTAAAATGGGCAATGTAAACTCACAAAGCGCGACCAACTTAAGGTGCTTAAAGTGAAGGACTCAAGGTTTCATAAAATGCATGCAAACATTTCTTACAGATATAACATTAGAAAATCGCCTAGAAATAAATTACGACGTAACTGAAATGTTGCCATTTAGTTTTTGTCTGGAGCATCTGGTTGTTTAATATTAATGAATGTCTATTGCCTATCACAAGCTTCTCCCAACCCACAGGTTGATCTGACTGGAACATTTTGAACGTGAATTAGAGTAATCAGAGAATCAGTGACTAAATCCATACCTCAGCTAGGAAGAAATACGGCGCTGAAATACGCCAAATCCCGTATTTACAATTCTGATCGAAATGTTTTCAGATCTTCAGCTTGTATTATGGGCCGTACTTGTTTAAGCATATAGCACACGGCATCAAAATTAAGCGAAAGAACTATTATACCGAATTAAGCTGATGAAAATGTTGACAATTTGCTTTTACGTTGTACATTTAAAAATGGTAACTGACGTACTATTCTCGAATTAAAGATAAAATATATTTGTATTCGTATAATTATTTAAATATGCTTGATATCACCACCAATGTAAAATTTGTGAATTAACAATCCAGAGAACTTAAATAGCCTACATTACACTATATAAGTTGTTATGCAATATATTTATTACAAATTGTGGGCGAACGCGCCAAATAGGTATTGATGTTGACAAGGCCTCTAGCAGATGCACAAATGCTAGTATGACTTTTTGCGGTAATTACACAATCATGGAGAACCACGATGTTCCGTCAATTGAGTGACAAAACTGTTAGACGAGATTATTGGAGGAACCATATTCCTAACGCAGAACTGTCGCAACAGCATGCATTAGGTCCCTTTCAGTTCGATTGTTTTACTATCTTCGTTGGTGTTACCTTATCTACACAGGATATCCAGAGTAGACGGAGCCTATTCTCATGTGATTCTTGGTTATGTTGTACAAAAGAAAAGTGGTTAAAATTCTGTCTCGCAATGCATCGACTCTACATTGGGAATCTACTGTGATGAGGGCGTTGAGTAGTAAGATATAGCCAGCATAGACGTTTATTTTTTCTAGCTTTAGCGAAATATGATTTTGAATAGGCATTTCCACACTTCCTGTTATCGACTAGAATCTTTAATGTTCACGTCCCGGCGCTCCTTTTGCGTAATTTCATTGCGCGTGAGAACGAATTGATTTTCAAATTCTGAAAGAAGAGATGGTAAACCAACGTTCCTGTAGTTTACTTGAATAAAGATACAATTCTCCCCAAATTCTTTGTAACTGCCGAATTTCGTGTCCTTGTCCTTCCAGACCGTCCTCCTGGTACCGATGTTACGAGGCAGGCTGCATTGTTATGCGATAGTCATTATAACAGCATCTACCACAACAGTTAGTTAGATGTTCTGAAAAAATTGCTTTTTTCTTTAATTACTGGACCAATTGCATTGAAATTTTCAGTGGTTGTTAGGAGGCTATTAGTTTTAATTCTTTTCAAAATTTCTTGTGGGTTTCGTTTCGCTATTTGACGTGTTGAGACTAAGATAAAAATCAAAATAATTTCTCGCGGTTCCGCAAACGCATATCGTGCTCAGCGAAATTCGGCGGATCTCGCTGAAGCATGGACCATCTTCACAGGACCTGGAAAAGTTAGGACATCCCAATTATCGTTACCGATACCCTGATAGAGATACTGGTAAGTTACCGTATATGATTTTCGGGGAATTGATGGTAAAATATTTCGTTTCGGCTTTCGTGTCCATATATTTGAGCATAGCTCTATTGTTGTTACATTGAATTAATGCCGATTTCATTATCAATTGTTATCACTAAATTGTTGATATGTTTTTTTCATCACTTCGTGACTTGGTTGGTTACCGAACAAACATGGTGAGTCACCTTATGACCCACGGGTCAGTGGTCCGTCATCCCTGTCATAGAGTAAAGATTTAGGTCTGTGATGGGATTCCACATCTTCAAGGATAGATCTCTTTTGTACCAAGTTCACCAACAATAGGTTCCCATCATTTCATAAAATGTATATATGTAATTCACTACGTAAGATAAATTAGCATGACAGGCTTTGCATAAATTTGAAACATAACTTTCGAAACGTTGCGTCATTGCACGTTAATCAGTTGACTCAACCTGATCAATTTGAGTGAAATGATCATGACTTGATTGATCAGATAATATGCTAATTCCTGAACACCATCACCATGATGCTCAATATCAATATATAAGACAATTAACTCACTCCATTTGTATGATTTGTTTTAATATCCAGAATTGAAATGATGATAAAACAATTAATCGACAAGCAGAAAATATTTTAGCCCGAGGCCTGTAGCCTTCTCACCTAAATATATACAATACTAATATCATATTGCAAAATTATCTGGCGTAAAATCTCGAACTAAAACATTTTTTACAGACAAAATTAATCAAAAATTAGGGGAAAATGCGTGGAGATCAGGCAATAACATTTCTTATATTTTTAACAACCGGAATATCAATGTCAAACGAAGAGGATTTTATATGTGAAGGGAAACGCGGGTGGTACGGGATTCCACTCACATGTCATCATGGCACTAGTAATGAAAGTAAGGGCATAGTACATATATAAATATATATATATATGATGCAATAATAGAGCATTTTCTTGCTGTTGTTTTTTTCTGAGACTCGCGTCACAATTCAGAAAAACGATCGAGATTACAGTAAGAAAATCTCAGGGTAACAAGCTATGCGTTACTGACGGGATTGTGCATTTAACCAAGTTGGCATTTGCGTTGATTAAGACTATATCAAAACTAACTGGAACTCAAATACAGTAAATGATAAACGAATGAAGTATCACTGGATGCACACGGTTATTAGCGTATTTACTTCTTCACGTTTGAGGCGGAAGGCATGAGAAAAAAATTGAAAATTGAACTAAAACTGTACGATATCACCAATAAAAAAATGTTTCATTACAAGCGGATATGAGGGTAGATGTTCAAAATATATACCACTGAAAATATTTATTATTTATAACATATATAGTTGGAAAAGAAACGTCTTATGAACAAACTGTATGCTTATCAACGTGCAATATATTTTAAGAGTCAACGCAGAACCGACTGAGAATATTAACCAAAAAACTGAAAGTTGCTGAGGATGATATTGCAAAAATTGAAAAAGGTAAGTATGCGTGAAGTATTTATAGCGATTCTATGTATCATTATAATCTGGATGGATAATTCAATATAGAGATAATTTAGAAAACCTGGAACTTAAGAACAAACTTGCAACTCTTGAATCATTTGTGATGCCTTTGAAGGACGAAAGCGCACCAAATCGGACAGGTATTGTTGACATTAATTCTAAATTCATTCTCTAGCAATATACATAAGTCTTACCAAAATCCCGTCGTCATGTGCGGAAAGATTTGGTCTAAAATTCAATATATTATCTTTTATTCTATATCTATATTTGTTTTAAATGAAGTCATGTTTTTATATTTAATATATATTAATATATTCATCGGAACTAAAACGTGATTGACAGACAAGTGTGATGTGGTAACAGAGAATTTCTGCTTTCTAACATTGGTCGAAAAGAAATGGAAAATGTCATTTGAGGATGCAGTTACAGCTTGTAATAAGCTTGGGTGCACGGTAGCAAATATCACGAATGAAGCTATATACACGCGTATCACGAGTAATTTAAGACGGAAAATTCCCAATGGATGATCTTTGGTATATATTTGGATTGGAAATCAAATAAATGCTAAGGTGACACAATTATATATATATATATAGCCTATATCAGGTGTGCATAAATTTACAGAGCTCAATTAAATCAAAGTACGTCTTGAAGTAAGCCTTTTTGTAGTTGCAAACTCTACGAAATCCATCAGCCTAAAGTTGTACCAAGGAGTATGATTATGCGGGACAGCAGTTGGGGGAAGCGCATTATTAGCTTGTTCATCGTAACGAGATGTTACATTTAAATGACACCCATGTCTCATGAGCTAAAATGTTAAATCTCACCTTTTCTTTGCCAACAAACCTGTATCATAACTATTTGCCTGTTACCAGCTTACGTGAAATCAAACAATTATACAGTGCAAAGTAGAAAATTACGAAGCTAAAGATTCAATATTGTCATTGCTTTAATGCCAACGTGACGTGACGTAAACTGTTGGTCTATTAAAATTTTTCTTCGTTTCAGACTGGTTATTTGCCAATTCCATTCACACAATGGCTCCAGGGATCGCCAAAGTTGAAAGAAAAGCATTTGAACTGGAATAACATTTATCTAATAGTCGATCGTAATCCTGTCGTCGCCTTCCAGGGAATGGCAAATATTGCTCCGAAAACGTTTTGAAATGGAGTCGTTTGCCAAAGAAATATATAACACTATTCCAAATTACTATCTCAATCAGTACTCAAATTGATCTGCGTGCAAAGAATTATTGTGAACTGAATTAAAATGATGATAAAATTGCAGTTTCTCTATTCGTATTCATCTACAACACCGACATGAACTGCTCTTCCGCTCCAACATAAAACTCTGTAATACATACATAACGAACACCAAACAATTTATTTGCTCAAATAATTTCATTAAGGTTGGTTTATCAAAATTTTTTCAGTTCTACCAACTAATTTAACTCCACTCTTATCGCCAACAAGTTAGGGTTATGTATTCAAAAATTATCTGCTTCAAAACCCGACCGCAATGCAATTGGTGATTTTGCATTATTCTCCCATTTTGAAATAGGATGTGCATTCTATTTTTTAAAAGAATCGTGACAACCGTGTTTTTTATTCAATGCTCACATATTGTTCAGTTATTTTTTGAAAAATCGTGAGTTCATTTAACGAATGTTACTAAAATCTTGTTGCAATCATCATGTTTCCCGTTCATATCAGCAGCCTCCGCATGGAATAGGGTATTTGATCAAGCGTCAATTAGAAAGAATTACATAGCAGTTTAGTTTGATTTTCAGGCGATATTTATAACGGAAAAACGTTTCAAACCAAAATTCTCGTTAACTGAAGAATGCGGTAATTAATTTCAAGATAGCTACTTACAAGGTTTAAAAAATTTGGATATTTATATTTTTCTCTTAATCCTCTTTTGAAAAGAATACAAATGATAGCTCCGAGCATGATAAATTTATTTTGGTAGAGTTATGTACAAAAAAGCACTAACAAACAGCACAACGTCGACAGAACGCGAGGCGCTTAAGGCGTTTTGAGGGATTTCACCGGTCACTGACATATATTGCCATCCTTCTTTAAAGTAACATCTATCGTTTTAAAAGGAAAATTTTTTGTGCATCACAATATTTATTGAGTACATCTACGTGTCGTAAGACATGTATGAAAATAGTCATTTGCATCATATCGTCACGCTAATAACCGAATTGCGTAAGTCCTTTTTAGCAGTTTTGAACAGCAATGCACCCAATATAAAAGCCAACCAAGGTGAATTGGTCTCGGACAGTGAATATCACAAGTGCACGTCTTCCTATACTGTAGTATAGATTCAAATCAATACGCGCTAAGCTAGAATACGAGATGCAAAAACTCGAAAATACTTCGCCGAGGTTATTTTGCCTTTGTGACGTCACAATAGTCTTACGGTAACAATGATAATTCATTATGACGAAACAATTGCACAGATGTGCATGTTATACTAAATCTCCATTTTTATGGGCTTCGGAATTCTTAAAATAAAATCTGAGTTAACCGACAGGTGCGCAGCATTACCTAAATACCTATTTTATAAAAAAACTCAAAATCGCCAAAAATTACTTACGCAATTCGGTTATTAGCGTGACGATATTGCCAGGTTATTCCGTCTGAAGCGAGAATTAATATAAATAATAAACTTGAAATCTCAAAAAGCAATTACTACCCTTCAATCATTTATGATATTTCTGAAGAATGAAAACGCACCAGATTGCACTGATATGAAAATACTTGACAATAATTGCAATGTTCAGTATAAGTCTTAGCATTGGGCGTCTCGGTTCTTTTACTCAAAATATGTTATTCATCTCCGAATACATCGTTCTATGACGAATTCAACAGTTCATATTTATTGTGATATACTGAATAAACGTATGCTTTTATATACAATATAAATATAATATATTAAACTAAAACACGTTTACACAGTGATGATGTGTTTAACAAGCTTTTTTAAATAGAATAAAAAGAAATAGGAAATGTATTTTCATAATGCACTTGCCCTAGGCTGGGTTTTACTGAAGCAAATATTACCAATAGAACTATATACCAGAGAATCATCTGCAAAGAGAATATCCCTAGTGAGAGAGCCTTATTAAGTATGAAATAAATATTGCGGTGTAGTAAATATATATACTACATTTGGTATTATATAATTACTGGTTGAACATTGGAATAATAATCTGTGTGTATCAAAGGAGTATTTGTAATCTGGCCTAAAACAATGACATGATTCCAATTTCTTATTTTAAACTTCATCTTTGTCACAACCCGACTCATTTCCTGTTCAAACGTACTACAACTCTGTAGTATTTGATAAACAATCATTTTTCAATTAAACAACCCAATAAGGCATGCACCAAGCAATGAAGATCACAAGCCACATACTCATACTCAACAGAAACGATGCGCTTAAGAATTGAAATGTTGTGAGATAAAGGTTTCATCATTTATACAGTGGAACGAGGAAACTATTTGTTTCTTCAATTCGGCAATATTCCTTTAGAAGTATCGATTAAATCTTTAACAAAATCATCCTCTTTTATAATTCCAGATCATTCACCAAATTGTTTTGAGATCTACAATTATATCCGAAATATCGACTGTGAAATACAGTTTAGATAAGACGCAATTAGGTAGAAGAGTTCGATTTCGGAAGGAAAAGAAAAACGTTTTCGAATAAAAATTCCCGTTCACTCGAAACGAATGTTTATTAATTTTGCAATACCTACTTAAAAGGAGTTACAATTATAAATTTGTGTTTTTTTTTTATTATTATTTACGATCGATAAAATGATAGCTCCAGGCATGATACATTTCCTGTGGTAGAGATAATATGATTATGTGATAATTTTTAGATTTGGCTGGACGTTTTATTAGACTTTGAATTGTAAAAATATATATCGCAGCCATAACATAGTATGCAGATATAAACACAGATGGGGTTAAACAGCTGTAAGCGCGGAAAAATATTGTTGAGATCCTGTGTATATATGCATGACTGTAAATGAGTGTTTGTCAATTTTTTGCTTTGCGTTTGATTTGTTCATGTCAACAATCAGATTTGAGAGTTTAAACCTTATTAGTTCCAAAATGCAGTCCTGTCTATCAACTTATCTAACTTGTAACAATTAATACAAATATTCATGAATGACGAACATGAGATGAGTTTTCATTTTAATTGAGAAAGTTCAGAAAAAAAGGGAAAGTGCATGACAAAACGTCATTAACAAAATCTTGTGATATGTTGTATTTATTTCATCAAAAAGATAAAACAGTACTAGCGAGAGAGAATATAGCAATACTGGTATTATGTACACCAACAAATAGGAATACACAGGCTTGTCCATGGGAATCCCATTCGGAATTCCATGGCAAACGTTTCATGGAGTGGGAAGGGACAACACTCCTTTGTATTTCCCATGGGACAAGAATTTTTCTTTTTATTGTTATGAGAAAAATCGCTTTCTTTTTACACTATTACTTTTTTTTTCTAAATTTTCCATGAATGCTATGAGATCTAATATTTTATCCAAAATTACCGTAAACCGTATAATTTTCAGGTAATTGACGGCAAAATATTTCGCTATGGACTTCGTATAATCGTGTCCATGTATTTGAACATAGCTCTCTTGTTAGTGATATATAGTTCTGGCTTTTTAAAGCTAACAAAGTCAATAAATTTGTCGTTTTGCATGTCCCTTTATACGCGTAGTCTCACTTAGTAGACGTAAACCTGAATTTCGCACTTATTATTGCAAATAATTTCAAATGGGAATCCCATGGGATGGGACAGGCTTAAATTACCATAGGATGAGATGGGACAGAAAAATGTGTCCCATGGACAAGCCTTGGAATACCTAAAGAAACATATGAAATAAGATTCGTTTTATTCTCGTTTAGTTCATTTGTTTCAAATGAAAAGTAAATATCAATAGCCCCTAACTGCGAATTTTGTCGCCTTAAATAACATGGACGGCATGAAACGATACCGTGTTTTACTTGTCTTTTGGCTCGCGACGATGTTGACACCTTATACCCGCGGCGAAACTCTATACTGCAAACCACGAGCTGGATGCGGCATCGACAGTTGTGATCCAATTGCTGCGGGTTGGAATGAGAAGATTTTCGACCTTACAGAACATCTTCATCGTGAAGAATTCCCAATAATCTGCAAACAGACCAAAACAGGTATCAACCATAAATCAGATTGCTTCATTATTTTATTACAGGAATGAGTTTGCAAGCTTTTACTTTCAGTAAAACGTAACCACATCAATCTTTTCATTATACAAAAAGATTCACATTTGAGAAACCTTACATTGAGGTATACCCTAGATTCGTCAAAAATACAAGAAGAACTTGGTACCGTTGAAAAAAAGGTATCTATTTTGGAGGATTTGAACGTGGATTTGGCAAATGGTGAGGTTTTGTTAAATTATTTTCTACTAATTTAAATTAGCAGCTCACAAAGAACTTTTGTCATATTGGGCTTACCGTATCAGAATTTTTTGTGATGTACAAATGTTCACCAATATTCTATTTATTTGTTACAAAAGCTATGGTTATTCTCCCAAGCATTGGCTTTTTTGTTTATTTCTGTAAGATTGGCTGTTCAGCAAAATGTCAAAGACGTAGCAATTAAAAGTTAAGCAGCCACTGGGATACTACTTTTCCCTCAAGCAGATTTTCAGGTATGGTTATAAACATTGGCTCGTTTTCGTGGATTTGCAAAATATTTGACGGTTCTTAAGTGTGTTTCCAAAATTTAAGTATGGATAACTCGATGGTCATACTAGGAGTTTAAGTTTAGTTGCAATAATCAAAATATGTAGAAAAGCTGCGATTGACATACGTTAGGTTGAACTTACGTATCAGTCAGTACTTTGAATGCCAGGTAGTTAAATATTTTGAAACAATGACGGTCTGAATATCTAAAATCACCGCGCATGAAAGGGCCGACTTGCGAAATCGTATTCAAAATAAGCATCAAAATTTTTTAAATGGTGAAGTATATATATATGAGTAATTTTTCTGGAGTCAAAGTCGGGTGAGCACCCATAAAAGTTTAACGGATTGCGTTAGTGCAATGAATTAGGAGTAGAGTAATGGAACCTAATTATTGAATGATAGGCCACGAGGCCAGGTGTGTATTGGTTTAAAGTAGACAATTAACAAAGACTTCTTTACCATGGCCATATCACGATGAAATCTTTCGATACGCTAGGTTACACACTTGTGCCTATTTATGAATAAAATCTTCTTACTTTTCAGAATGTATATATAACAAACATTCTGAATCAGGCATATGATGTCACACACGTTCCTTTAATTTTTTGAGTTGGTCACTAATATGGCAATTGAGTGTGCAACATGATTTCTCCATAAATATATTTGTTGCAATGCGGTGGAATTAAAAACAGAATACAAATAATAGATTACTAGTATTAAACCTTTGATTATGAAAAGTTTTGGTGATGTCACATTTTCATTTACAGAAGTTGTAAAACTCAAAGAACGGAATAATCGATTATTTGATGAATTGAATAGCAAAGCACTAAAGTTGTCAGAAGGTATTTTGCTAATACTTGTTTGAATAAAGACGCAAAAAAGAAAAAGAACTTTTTAAAACCAACAATCTTCCAAACAGATATAGATATATATTAATTATTTCCATTTATGTGAATGCGATTTCTCCACATTTACATCAAACAACGCTTCAAATAGTATAGTCACAAAGACGAGAGGTCTAAAGATATAGAATGATTGACTCGACACTGCATACAAATATCACATTTTGTTTGAAATGAAGGACTTCAGGTAAATAATGGGACGACTAACAATGCCTCAAATCTCTGGCCTTGCTTGTATGGGAATATTTGACTTTTTATAATTTTATGCACAGTACTGATTTGAATTGAATTTGATCAGTGCAAACGAAAGTTGTAACGCTAGAGAAGAGATTCTCAGTGATGGAGGAAAGATTCGAACGTATGAACAGTATATCAGTAATGGACGGAGAAACAGCAAGTGTAGAAAATGCCTCTGTGGATTCAGGTATGAATCTGGTGACATTCAACGTAGAATTAAATATTTATTGTTTGAATGAAAGTGTTCCGCTATAACTATCAAGTATCTCGGTTTGGTTGATAGATGCTGAGAAAATTCATAGGATATAGCCTGACTTGTAGAAAGTCTTAAAAATGCAAGTGTACGCAGATGGTTTAATTAGAGAGATATTATAGACGTTATTAGTTAATCTTCAAGAGCTGTGGAATGCAAAGTCCTGTCGATGTTGTATATAATATTTGTATTGAGATATAATTTTAAATTCATTTTTTTTTATCAAGAATACTGCATGGTCAAAGTTGATGAAACGTGCTATTGGATAAAGATTCAAGATGGCAATTATTACAGAGCTAAAGAAACTTGCAAAAAACACGATTTCAAAGTAGCAGACATTCCGAATGAAAAAACTTATCGTCGCTTATATGATAAGTTACGAAATTTGATACCAGATCAATTATCGTGGATGAAAATATGGACAGGAATAGAAATAAATACACAAGTAAGGCTGAGATAGTTTCAAAAGGTATGACTGAATGTGGCAGTACATAAGTTTAACAATAAGAGGACATATTATCTACCGAAATACAGGCCCATGTAAACGCTGTAGCACCAACTTTGCTTGAATATTCTTTTCACGTGCCTGCACACTTCCACTTATCGAGTGCAGTAAAAAATGTTTTGTTAAACTTTACCTCATTTTTTTGTTTCAGACTGGGAAAATAAACCCACTCACATCATACATTGAATGGCAAACTAATTTGCCTCATATGGGACGTCCATTTATAAAATTTACGAATGTTTATATCGACGTTGGAAGAAATTCAAAGAGCATCGGAGCAATGGGAAACATTCCGCCTTCTGATTCTACTCATGGATTAATTTGTCAGTTTTGATGATGGTCGGAATTCTTTTATTATTCCGCGTAATTACCCGGTTATTTACGAGTATAACTACAACTTTATTGCGCAGTGAAAAACAAATTCATGTAATCAAAGATATATATTTTGGGTTTCGTAATACAAATTGTGATTGATAACAGTCTTATAGAAATAGATCGTTTGGTTAGTGCGTTCTGTGTTGGGACGACGGCTGGCAACACATACAAAAGTTAAGTTCGTGTGCATTTTTAGATAAATACATATACATCATGTCGCGATGTGGTTATTTACAAGGGTTTGGTGAATCATGTCTCGGAGACAGTGAAGTACGATGAGCTGCCGGATGGTGAACAGACAAATAAGCTACCTTGTTTCACACCAACGCACCTTGTTGAACGTAAGCGATCAGACGCACGATTATTCCCCTGTATGATTTTCTGCCTTACAAAGAGATAGAAAAATGTCTCCTGGTATTTTATATCAATTAGTTAAAAAACATATTAGTCAAATAAATTGATAATAGTTAATTAAATATAAAAGCACTAACAGTAATCCGTCGACTTGGGATGAATATCAGATTCATTCTTGATATAGTACACGCTGTCCGCATATTTATAAAACTTGCTAAACAAGTCACAATAGTCTGCTCTGCTCTGTAACGAGGGTTTAAAGATAATAAACGTTTGAGCACATACTAAGTCTGTAACACTTTATTCGCAATATTTGAATGATTCAACAAAATGAATGAAAAAGTATGAAATAGAAGCAAGTTCGACAAAATACGAGATTTGCTCCATAAATGCTCTAACTACACTTGAGGTCATGAAGCATGTGAAAATCTCTAATTTGGTAGCAAGTTCTGAATGGTCTGTAAAATATCAAAATGATATTTTCCAATCACCCGACGTCACACAGTTGGATGTGGTAATATTTGACACGCAGGTCTGTCCCATTTTCAACTCAACATCAACTTGGATCAACGTGTCCGACATGCCGCACACCAGGGGTCGACAACCTTTTGTCGCTCGCGGGCCAAAATTAAGGATTGCAACTCATTGGCATGCCGCCCATATTTTTAGAAAAATAAAACCCGAACGGATGATACTTTTTATAATAAAAATCAAGCAGTGATACATCTCTCGAATAGAATATAGATTTACTTCTCCATTGCATGTCATAAAATTCCATTTGAATATTTTCAGCGCCATTAAACCCTTTGTTAGCATCAACTTTTCTGCGTTTGTTGCCATTTGTCTAGTTATAATCTAATTATATGCTCAATTAACAAGTATTTGTGAATTATATATTTGTTAGGTTATTATAATTATAATACAAGTCTAAAGATTAAATCTTCAAAACAGCTGTTTTGTTATTATAATTCTGTGAAGCCTCGCGGGACGGATTATATTAGTCCGCGGGCCGTAGGTTGCCGACCCCTGCCGTACACTGTCATGAATGACAACTATGGTTATTCCAAATTATTAGAATGTTATTATTATTGAAATATGCTGAGTAGTGAACAATGTACGCTCCTAATACTATTAATCTGTACTCGAAGAAAAACCGACCGTGCCGCACAATCATATTTATTGCGTAAAACGGATAAAACTTTTGTATGATGAGGCTTGGAGTCTTTGCAATCAGCTATACGCAGGGTAATTGTGTAAATCCTATCCTATCGAGTTCCCCTCGATATCATGAATAACGGACTAACGCAAAGTCTGTGATGTAATGAACATGATCATCGCGTAGACAACTTGATAAGCACAAAACGACGATATTCCAAAAAATTATCTGGCTTGTTTCTAGTGGGAGCAATGAATTCTCGAAAAAACATCTTTTCTCAGACAAATTGTACCAAAGCGTTAACAATATGTAAGTTATCTCATAGGAATAAAAACATTTATCAAAAATATGATAAGAAACAATATTATAATAATAAATATGAAATAGTAAGCAAGTATAACTTCATATGCTGAATGACAAGAACCAAAATACATTAAAATTAGAAAACAGTTAAAAATATCGTAAATGAGAGTATAAAAACGAAAGGTATAATGATTGTTTTTTCTTCATTGTAGTATTGCTCTTTTACAGCGATGGTGTCAGGCAGGTTATATGACCTTCAAATTGAAAAGCTGCAAAAATGCCAGGTTGTTTAATGAAAGCTGCAATTCATACTACTAATCGTAGAATTTGTCAAATAGGCGACCAGGCGAGTGATGGCAAATACAGTAGACATGAAAGCTTGAGCCAATTGAGAAATCATTGCCGATTTAATATTAAAGCAAGAACGAAATACTACTATTCAATAGAAAACGTTATAGTTCCTTCAACTATAAGCCTTGATACTATGTGTAAAGTACATGAACATAGTTTTTCAATATGTTCGAGTGAACAAAATTGCTATAATATATTTCTAAATGATGCACAGAATAATGCGGGAGTTATGATCATCTGTAAAAATAGCTTTGGCAAATTCTCATCCATGAGTAACTCCAATGAAATATTAGAATTCTATTTACCAGAAGGCTTCTGAATATAAGAACTGGGGGTCATCTGACGTAACCACCGTCGTATATTATAGCGGTTACAATATCTTGTGTATTTTGAGTATCACAAATACTAAATAAATTGTCACATTACCTCATTCCGCAAATATTTTTGGCAATGTTTGGCTTCCTCTGATTTTAATTACCTAGTATTTGGGCCAGTATCAGCCACGTATATTAGATTAACTTGGGGGCGGCCCTTTAAATAGTGTTGCAGGTTGTGGTATTGAGTTCAAAGCTGCTTGCTGGGCAACCGCGTAACATTCCGAACTGTCACATATTCCTCTTGTTCCAGGCGGACCTGGTGGTCCACGTACCCCAGGCTCTCCTGGTATGCCAGATTTACCTTCCGGACCTGGTGGACCAGAATATCCATATCCTGGTGCTCCTTGTGGTCCTATAACATAATTATTTTGTTATAAATTGTCAACCTGAAAATGACTTGGTTTTGCTAATATATCTTACACAACATTCCAGTTTATTTACCTTCCATTCCAGGTGTTCCCGGGTCTCCTTTTCTACCTCGTCCCGCGTCACCCCTGCTACCCTTCTGTCCTGTGAGACCTAGATATGTCATAAATTTGATGCTCGTATACCAACAGTATATATATATGTATATATAAACAAATAAACAGAAATCTGTTAATATCAATAATGGAGCCAAAAAACAACTTAAAAAAAATTATCTTATCCTTAGATTTGCTTCTAAATTTATGTTAATTAAAAGATTTGAATTGCAAGAACAATGACGAGTAATACAATACATTTAAGTATAGATCTGTGTGGGTTGAATCCCGGCAGAATATCAAATAGTAACATACCAAGATGTCCAGGCAACCCGGGATCTCCATTTCGTCCAGGAGTGCCTGCAGGACCACGAATTCCTGGCGGTCCTGCACTTCCTGGTTTACCAACTGTTCCTGCAGGACCCGGGGGCCCTGGCGGGCCAACCAACGTGTCGATCTGTAGACGGTAAATATACGTTGAATTGAAGCTTATACCAGCTTTTTGTACTAAATTCATTCCAAGCTTTTTGTTACGTATGTAGTTAAGAATTTGAAATAGCAGAACAAATCTTCTATTAGTTAATTTCACGTTTCTTAGAATTTTCTCTGATAATTAAATAAACAAACTATAATATTTTATACCAATGCAGATGGTGTTGGATTTGGCATTGCATCTTTCACTTGCTCTATAATATCAGGCAATTTATCATCTATAGCTTGATTTATCAAATCACGAATCATATCTTTCAGTTTTGCCTCATCTATAGATTTTCCATCTTTCCCTGTTGGTCCTGGGTTTCCTTGGTTTCCTTTCGGCCCGGATGGACCTACCATACCTTTGGAACCAGGTCGCCCATCTCGTCCCGGTACACCTGAATAAATTAGAATGAACATTAGCTTTGACCATTACAGACTGACATATACACATGTGCATTCGCTGTTTATATGGCGGAAAATGATAAAAAGTTTTATTACCATGGTTACCAATCGCCATAAATCTGATTACTACACCAGGATTGACCTGGAAACGCCAGGATATAAGAGTTCGATATTACTTCCATAGACTTTTCGACCGGTAAAATTGCAGGTGAGTTAATTTTCTATTCATATCAAGTATTTGCAAAACCAGCTGATATAAACTAATCATTGTGACAGTTTTACGAGACCGATTTACAGACAATTTCTTGCACCTTGATAGCCTTGCAATCCTTGCGGTCCAGGCTCTCCAGGTTGTCCTTCTTCTCCTCTAGCACCAATTCCCCCCTTTAATCCTGGTTCTCCAGGTGGACCTGGTTTACCATTAGATCCTGGTGGCCCGGTTTCGCCAATTGGCCCACGGGATCCTTCAAGACCCTGAATTATAAGAAGCAAAATCATAAAATTCTACTAAAAATGTCTACTATATTGAGACGATTTTGCTTTTATTGATTTATTTTAACTTGTACTTACTATTGGACCAGGTAATCCATTTTGTCCAGGTGGTCCAATTTGCCCAGGTTCACCTCTAACACCCCTTTCTCCTATTCTTCCGACATCCCCTCTGTCTCCGTGAGGTCCTACCTCTCCTTTTACCCCCTGTAAAGACAAAGCAAAGAAAGCAGTTGATGTAAAATGTGGAATGGTTTAAAAGCACAATATACAAAAAAAAAAAAGCAGAAAGGGCACTGAGTTGAACTTTGGTGGTTTCGTTTTCATACAGTTTAAAATTAAACTTTTTATTATCGAATCATGCCTGTATAAAAACAACTATGCGTTGTTACCTTTGTTCCTTGGAGACCTGGAGCCCCTGTTATACCTTGTGCCCCTCTAATGCCAGGAAATCCCATTTCTCCTCTGAGGCCTTGTAAGCCTGGTTCTCCAGGAGGCCCCTGGTTTGTAATTAAAAATTAATATATTATTGGTTTAAACAATTTATTTATAATTTCATAACATAGCATGATATCAAGTCACAGATATTAAGACAAAACAGTGTCTAAAATTTAATTGTGCCAATCCAAGATAAGAAGTATTTTTCATATATAACAGAGTTATGACAATAAAATATCACGCCAATAACGTATCACTTACTCGAATCCCAGGTTCGCCATTTGACCCAGCTATTCCAGGCAGACCCTGAAAATAATAATTCAAATCTAGAGATAAATAATATCTACTGCACAACAATGGTGCAAATATTATTTAGTTCAGCAAAAATATTTAATAAATATGTTATTGTTGAAATGCTCACGAAAGCTCAAAATTGTTCTCTATGCAGATTCAATGGGATAAAAAATTATTTATTAAGTTGGAATGAAAATCCTCGTGAAAAAAAAAAATGTTCTATTAAAAAGTTTCAATTATCTAGCATTCTACCCCATACATGTAAGAATGCTGATTCAATAAACTACCAAATTGTTAGAACATTTTTCATATTGCTGGAATGTCAAAGAAAAGTACTCACTCTCTGTCCTACAGCACCGGTTTTGCCAACAGTACCATTGCCGCCCCTACTACCCTGTTCCCCCTTTTCTCCTTTCTCGCCAGATGTACCATCAGCACCAGCAATACCCTGCAAGAATGTATTAATTATGTATGAAGTACCTAATCTATTACACACGATCTCAATTCGTTTAATAGTGCAACACCACTTTCTTAACTCTATTTTATTCTTGCTATATCTGAACACAAGTACCCTAACAATCGTTTAGGTAAATTGTTGTTATTCTCTTTGTCTCTTCTCTTGAGACACAATGCTTATTATATTTTTGTCCAGCGGATTTAAGATTTCAAAAGCTATAAGCAGAAATGTCAAGGAATATATAACTGGTTTCTAAGATTTTTAAGGCTCGTCGTTTTACGAAAAAATTTGCTGATTGTTTTGTATCTGCCTATTTTTATGTATTCCGCTTTCTAGGATTCCGACACATTTTCTTTTTTTTTATATTATCGGCAAAATGGGATTGCTGGGTAACAAGGTATATCTCTAACTTACAGGTATTCCTTGCTGTCCCTTCGCACCTTTTTCTCCGGCGTCACCAGCAGAACCGCGGGGTCCAGCGACTCCTGGTTTTCCTGTCATTCCATCTTTACCTGCAGCACCCTAAGAAAATGCACATATTTTATTTAATATCTAGAGTCAAATATGAAATTAAAGATTGCATTGACATAAAAATTAAATTACATTGATGATAAATTGATTTTAATGATAAAAACATAGTGGTATTTATTTACTCGGTAGTATTTATATAATTCATACCTTAGCCCCTTGCGGTCCAGGTTCTCCATCGATACCATTAAAACCGGGTCTACCCTGAAAACAATACAACAAACGAGTTTAAGTTTACTATTAAATATTTAATATTATATGGATAGTTATGAGTAATTGTTTTTGTTCATGATCGTTTTTTGCTGACGTAAAAAAAGTACATATCATATACATTAATTTTCAAATCGGACACTTGAAGTCCATCTGCGTTTTACGTATATATAATTTCGTAATTTGTTTATTTTACAAAGTCTTTGTCACGATTCTGTAAATTTATACCTGTGAACCGGATTCCCCTTTTTCTCCCATATTTCCTGGTTTCCCAGGTCCTCCTTTTTGTCCAGCTCTCCCATCAATGCCAGGTTGTCCTGCAATTCCAGCTTCACCCTAAAGATTACTTTGAAATAAGTTGGGTTATCGAAATAAATTGCACTTATCGCAGTATTGCCCTTACATTTTACAATTTTTTATGAAAAATGTTATTTATTGACTCGTAATAAAGCTATACTCAAGTTCGTTATTTTGTCCAAAAAATATACTACGTAAAGAATGGGCCATCAATTTTTCTGAACAGAACGGAATATACAGTTTATTACACCATGGGTGATATAGTTGTCTTTACAAGCCACAGGATATAACCTCAGTGCGAACATATTCAAAACTCAGATCAACCCTTCAGTAAGAGTTTATTTAACATTTTATTGCAACTTACTTTTAAACCAGGGCTACCATCTCTTCCAGTAGGTCCGGGTCTCCCATCTACTCCCTGTAAATTAATCGTGTATTAACTGTATAATATATATTAAAGTTTTTTTTCAACAATATTTTATTTTACTTCATTCTATAGAATGTGCTTTTTTGCATAATATTTAATCAGTTGGCTTTCAAAAGTAATGTTCAGTGGTTGTATTAATGACCTGGCACGATTTGTCATTACAGTCTATAATAGCACCCATCGCACATTTCGTAATCGTAGTCTGTCACCGTTTTTCTTTAAAACTTTCCTACCATAACTCATTTTTATAAGTAAAATGAGAAATATTCACAACTTAAAAAAACTAATGCTTCTATATAGTATATATATATATATATATATGTATATATTACAAAAAATTACCGCCACTCCGGGGGCTCCTACAGCACCGGGTGGGCCTGGTGGGCATTCTTCGCAAGTTCTCTGAATAAAATTCTTCAATTTGTTAACTAGCAAATATATATATACATATGTAGTTCAATAAATCATTTTTTGTCTATACAATTCAATATTAGAATAAAAAACACTATAGAATAGATAATGCAGATCAGATAAATTTGTGGAATTAAAAAACTTGTTTGAAAATATCACCTTACGACTGTTTGATCAGTTTTCAATGACAATAATATATGAGTCATTCGGTAGTTCGAATCTATATTAACTACAAGTATTTCTCTTTTTATTCCAACAAGTTTCCAATTATCTTGAATTTCAGTCGAATATCTTATACAGCGATGACAGGTTATCAATAAAATGAATGAACAACCAGAAGTATGTCAAACAATAACAAAATATTTATTATATTATCAATTAATATAATAAGTATTGTTACCTCATCAAGCTGTATCAAAGTTTGTCCCTGAAAACAGAGTTGAATTTTGTTACACTCTTATATTTTATTTCTTTCACACGGATCGTCATTGGAATTATGTACCCAGAACTTGAATTTTATTGAATTACTTATCTAGCAAACATACTATTTAACACACTATACAGAAAGTTCATAAGAACCTTTTGTTCAATAAAGTTTGACCTATTAGAATAATGAGAAAATTTAAAAAGAACTTTCTATAAATAAATTTGTGAATTTTAACAACTTTCAGTCCTGAATCTAAGGCTAATCCAAATGAAATGAATATACTTAGAAACCGATCATAAAGTGACGGATGATACTACTCACCGGTGGCCCAGGATCGCCAGGAACTCCAGGATTTCCATTCCTTCCTGGAAGCCCCTGTTTGACAGAATTTAAAAAAATAAATAAAGTAAAAAAAATTTACGACACAAAATCATGATAAAAATACTAATAATATTACATAGATATTAAAGTGGCATTCAGTATCCTACTATTTGCAAATAAAATAAATCATTCATCAGACAATGATATTTTACACACCCTGGGACCAGGATTTCCTTGTTCTCCGTGCAACCCCCTCGGACCTTCTACTGTGAAAACACTTCCATCTCTGCCAGGCGGTCCAATGATACCTTGTGGTCCAGAAACTCCCGGCTCTCCCTGGATGTAAAATTACATAAATTAAAAGCTTATATCTCAAATAACAAAGACTAGCGTCGTTTAATTACATAATGTGACTATTTTTAAGTTTTATTCAATTATTCTACTTTGAATTATATACCAATTAAAACTTAGATTTTGGATTATTTGCAAAATCACATTTATTGAAGTTTAATTGATAAAATATACAAACCAAGTCAGTGTTCGAGGAATTACCATGAATTACTAACCTGTTGACCAATTTGTCCTGGGGGTCCTTCTACACCTGCTGGTCCTGGAGGTCCTTCGGCGCCATCAACGCCCGGCTTACCAGGTGGCCCTTCAGCTCCCTGGTTGACAAATAAAATTGAAATAAAAATTTTCATGAACATTTATGTTGTTGTAAATTACAGTGAATCAATTTATTTTAAACTACTTCAAATACATCAGCAGGTAAGCTATTTCGAATAGCTTAGGGCACTTTAGGAGCTTCAATAGCTTCAAAATCAGAGTATCAATGATGATTATCAAATAAATTGTACTCTTACCACTTCCCCCTGTGTGCCTTCCGCCCCGGCAACTCCAGGCTCTCCTTGTTCGCCCTTTTGACCTCGTTCTCCTCTTTGACCTTCTTCTCCTTCATTTCCAGGTTCACCTTTTAATCCCTGTCGCCCCATTGGACCTTGCAAACCTGTCTGCCCCTTTTCACCCTGAAAATTAAGGTTTCAAATCAAAACTATTTTCTAATCTTTGACACCGAAAAGTGTTTACTGCAAGTCTTTCAAAGTTAAAAAACATTCATTTGTCAAGTAAATATAAATATGTATGTATATATATAGTATTGTATTCATATTACTCAGTTTCTCCACTAATTAAGCCAAAATTTGAAGGCATAATTTACTCAGTTCACATCCTGCACCATCGATTTAAAAAAACCATACTGGTATTAATAAAATAAAAAAGCAATCATTTTCATATCACGCGACTCACTTGATCCCCTACTGGTCCAGGAACACCTTGTGGTCCAATCTCTCCAGGTACGCCCTGTTCGTACATGAAATGAATAAGTAGTCGATATATGCGTATGTAGGTGTAAAATGAATTGTAGTGGGTCTGCTACGGCACTTCGGGAAATATACTGATTTGAAAAATTTGTTCTATTCTAAAATATTGGAACAGATTTGGATACAGTTCATATCAGGATATTATTGAAACCGTCTAAATACCAAGTATACAGGATGTAAAACCTTAAATACAAAGAGTAAGAAGTAGTTTGTAATAAAGAAGAGAAGTTCAGAAAAGACTCCCAGGCCCTGTAATGTTGAGAAGTAAGCATATTTGACGATGAATCAAATTTTTCTCGTAACTATGAGGTAATGATCTCGAAAATACCTGCTCTCCCTCGGGACCTTGTTCCCCTCGGTTTCCAGGAAAGCCTTGTTCCCCTTTTTGTCCTGGAGTTCCTGGTTCTCCATCTGCGCCAGCTGGTCCTCTTTCCCCAGGTTCACCTTGTGGACCAGGTAATAATTCGGGTGGAGGCAAAGGTTCATGCTATTAGGAATATAAATTATTTGTAAATTATATAATTGTATCAATGTTTTAGTCTCAGTATCAACAACAGAAACTACATAAACTTCCAATTATGTCCCATCTGTGTTATATGCATAAATATGCAGAAGTCCTATTACTAAATATTCAGCCACTGGCATTGCAGACATCGTAAGTGATTGTTGTTTGTAATTGGTCCATTGATGCCTGAAATAACGCGTGGAAAAAGAGAACCTGCTTGCTCGCTGGCTTGCCATGCTGGTCTTTAGAAATATTCAAGAAAATGAAAAAGGATATCCAAATTTTACTTCTTCATTTTAAACGAGTACATGTTCATTTATTTGCTTCTTTACCAAGATTTAATAAATGAGAATTTGGATTCCAGTCTTGTTTTTGGTTAAAATAACATTCGATGTCAATGCACATTACTTTTTTCCTATGCGAACGCATGGAATTCGTATTCCCAACTCACCTTTTTCCTAATTTTATTGAACAATAACTCAGTTCATCGGTGAAATATTTTGGAAATTGCAAGAGTACTTTTGAAAAACCACGTATGCATTCAGCCATAGAAACAATACAAATGTAATGTCTTTTATTGAAATGTTAATTTTTTTCAATCAAACTTACCGTTACAATGGTCTCAACTCTACCAGGTTTCCCTGGTTCTCCGTCTTCACCCTAATAATTGAAAAATATTCACATATATATTATATAAAACGACTGTTTAAAAAAATTCCAAAAGATATTATATACTTCTGTATGTTCACTATATAGTTATAAGATGTTTTCGAAATTAACAATGAACGATTGTAGCTATTTAGGACATACAGAAATTTCAAAACTTTAAAATGCTTTACCTTTTCACCTCTTTCACCGGCCTCGCCTTTTACACCTGGTGCACCTTGCTCACCCTAAAAAGATATTTCTGCATTAGCTTTGGAAGTCAAACAATACCGGAATATTGTCGATAGTCATTTTGTATTATTCTTGTGTCGAAAAATATTTTGAGCAAATAATATATATCAGTTGCATTTAAAATATTTGAATCAGGTCATGAAACTTACAGCTATACCCTCTATTCCCTGTAATCCAGGAGATCCGGTGGCACCAGTGGAGCCTTTAGATCCTTGGATACCTTCAAAACCCTGCTCTCCTCTTGGGCCCTGAATGAAAAGGTATATTTCAGCTTTTGTACATGTTTTGTATTTCTATGAACATTGATGTATTACATGCAATAAATAGATCATTCCAAAAATAATACATTAGACTTTAGTGAAGAGTATTATTCAGTAGTAATTCAACTTACAGGTGGTCCTGGTTCTCCTTGTTGGCCGGTATGTCCTCGTCTACCTCTTGGTCCAATGTTGCCGGTAGTACCTGGTTCACCACGCTGTCCATCATTTCCTGGTTCACCCTGGATAACACAAAATTTCAGGTATGTGTATGTACGATGTAGGAAGAAATGCTCAAGGTGACATTCAATAGTACAACTTAATTCTACTGCTTTATGATAGTAGTCAATATAATTCTAATATTACTTTCATCCAAGACATCAACTAGTAGAGACTGATTATAATACAAAGTCTGTGGTTTTTGATTGGCTGGAAAAAAGATATGCTGTTGGACACTCAAGGTCTAAGAATCAAGTAAGAGGACAATTATTCAAATTATTTTCCAAATTACTACAAGTTGATAGTTGATATTTAGGGTATTTAATGAAAAAAGTACCTTTTGACCGCTTTCTCCATGCTTTCCGTCTTCACCATCCGGGCCCATGTCCCCCTTAGAAAAAGCGAATTTAATATAATTGATTTTTTTCTGCAAGGATATTTCTTTCATAGTTCAACACGCATACCTTTTGTCCTTTATTTCCTTGAATACCAGCTTGTCCAGACTGACCATCTTTGCCATCAATTCCATCTGCCCCTGGTAATCCTTGGTCTCCTTTTGCGCCAGTGGTTCCCTATTCAGATAAAAAGTAATACGCTACAACCGATTGTCAGAAATCATGACTGATTAAACACTCTATTATTCCTTATTATATGTCACATTTTATCATCCCCTGGAAAAAGGTAGTTAGTAGACTAAAACTGGGTATAATATTAATTGAGAAACTCGGAGTTAAAACAATGTGTTGCTTAGTAGACCTACTTTTTCGCCCAGCTCGCCTTTTTCACCTCTCTGTCCAATTTCTCCAATCGGACCAGGTAATCCCGGTGGTCCAGGCAGTCCAGGTTCACCAGGAATTCCCGCTTCACCCTGAATGTTATGAAATAACGTAACATTTAAGAAATGTGGAGCCTACCAAAATAAAACTTTAATAAGCCCTTATTTCAAATCTAAATCTAAATGAAGGCTACTGTGAAGTTCTCCTGTAGCATGACATGACACGTTATGATGGTTGAATGCACACAACACCGTGGCGACAGCTTTATTACAAACAAAGTAAGAAATTATATAAAACACATACGCGGCTTCCTGGTGGTCCTGCTACATCAGAAACTGGTCCTGGCAAACCTGGTGGGCCAATCATTCCCGGAACACCCTGATATATAACAAAAAGTGTTATATTTATATGAGAATTTATGATAAAAAAAATATAATTACTCAATTGCATACTTTAAGCTATTCGAAATAGTTTGTTTGTTTTCTGCAAAATAAGTGTTGCTAGCCTTTTCATCAGTGCATTTTTCTAAAAATTAATAATTTAATCTTATCTTCCGTTACTTACCGGCAAACCCTGTCTTCCATCCTGTCCATTTATTCCATTTTCTCCTGTTTCGCCCCGTGGACCCTGTTCCCCAGGTGGCCCCAATAAACCTTGAGGACCTACTTCCCCCTATAAATAGAAATGAAATCAATTATTTTGTTATTGATATTTTTATACGATACAGATGAATATTTTAAAATTGTTTGAAGGTGGCAATAAATGTCGGCTTATTTTCAGTCTAACAATGGTAGTATAATCAAATTATGTTGAACAAAACACTCACTTTTTGACCTTCACTTCCAATTTCGCCTCTTTCACCTTGAATGCCCTGGAATAAACGTAAAAAATAGGCATTGCCATTAACTGACTGCAGAGTGAATAAAAAACTGAAGCCCTGTTTTTAGTATTTAAACATTTGAATCCGTAATTGAATACTTGATGTTGAATAATAAATATATATATATATATACTTAAACTTACTGGTTCCCCGGGCCGTCCAGTTCTTCCTCTTTCACCTCTATTTCCTTTCTCGCCAACTTGACCACGCTCCCCTTCAACGCCAGGTAAACCTTGTGCTCCATCCATACCCTAAACATAATTTAGTGGTTCAAGTCATAATGCATGTCTCTAGCTTGATGAATCAAATTAGCAGTACTCATTTCCCTAATTAAGTTATGGGCTTCGTGTGATTCGAAAATATATAATTTTTTGTCTGCTTGATTTGAGCCGTGTTAAAATCAAGTGTTATATGAGAGTAATCCTCTCGTTTTTATAAACTAAAACAACTGTAATGCTGACCTTGTCGCCATCTTTTCCGTCAACGCCATCACTTCCAGGTAGTCCCTGTGATGCAATTAACAATCTAATTATATTAAACTGTGATGCTATTATTTTCAGAAAGACCAGTTGATCTTACATGATTTTTTTGTCTTAATTCAGATTAGCTTTCATAACCAGATCGTTGCTTGTTCGGAAATATGGATATATAAATTACAGTGTACAGAGATATTTCCATTATGTTTAGTCAAATTTAAGATCACTATGATGTATATTTGATTACATTTCCTAAATGAGCAATAATATTTTGAGTAAAACATAAAAAAAAAGTTATATCACGAAACCTTGTAAGCAGACTTACCGCTTCTCCTTTATCGCCAGGTTCACCTCTTGAGCCAGGAGCGCCCTGAAAATCCAAATCAATATATTACATCAAGACTTTTTGACAAGCGAATGTGATTATTTAGTTTTTATTTTTATCTTAACTTGTGTAATTACTGTTGATTTAATGACCGCCAACCAATCAATTTCCTGATTAGTTGAAAACAGTCAGTCGCTGGTGTTGTGACGTGAAGAAGCAGTTCAGTTCTAAACTTAGGTAGGTATATCTTAAGATGGAATTTATGCTTGTTCAGGTTATAAGATTCATTGAGATTGCTATTGCTTGGTTATCTCATCTTCTTCTTTAAATTACAGTGTGATAGCTTACAAAGAAAATCAGCATGGTGCAAAGAGAGGAGTACATATCTCATAATTTTATTTATACCACAAATCACACTCTACGTGGCTACAAGTATGAATAAATTGGTTTTTGACAATAAAACAATCGGGAATGCTTCCCCATTTGGTCATGTCTTGTTGATTTCAAATCGACGAAACCTCAGTTACTAAACAATAATGTTGATATCGTAATCAAGCTGATGTTTGTGCTGTGGTATCGCAGCACAATTATAGATCACAGTCGAGTACGTGAAGTAAGCTCACTTATACGCATTTAAATATATAGGTATTATCGGAAAGTCGCGCAGTAGAATCAACGAGGTATATGATCGTGGATTCTAGCCATTCTGTATATTTTACACCCAATGGTAAGAATTTGCTATCAGAGGCAATGGAACATTCAATATAAAATTATTACCAGCGTACATGAATTTCCAAGCTATTCACGGTCATATGAGCGTGTTACTATGACCTTGATGGCCGTCCTTATATTTTTTACAGGTAATAACTCTTGATTCCAGATGACGTAATCAAAATAGGAAGTGTTTTACCGGCGTTCCATCTTTCCCGTCTATACCATCATGACCGGGTAATCCTGACATTCCCTTTTCGCCTTGTTTTCCTTGAATTCCTTGTTCCCCTCTTTCGCCTGTATCACCCTACATACAAAATGATATGTAAATAACTTTTAAAATTTGATTTCTTGCTAAATCAGGAGGCAATCGCCGCGTGCGAACTTGTAAGAAGTTTTTTGTTATGCTTCGTTTTTCACCAAAACCTAATTGCCATTGAATACCAAAGACATTGAATTCTGAGACCAAATAAATACATTATGCACAACAATAAAACATGTAATTGATAACTAAAAATTGCGAGTAAAAGAGAAATCGACGACTTTGCATAGAGCGGAATGGCTGAAATTGGTCAATAATATTGAATATCATTTCATTACAACGAAAGCAGGCAAAAATAAACTGAAGAAACTGAGTTTCGGATAAAATCTGAAAGTCATTATTAATTGATTTATCCACGAAACGTGGTTGAGGCGTGGTTGTTCTCAAGTGCCGCTCACAAATTCTCGCTCAGATTTTGAGCGATTGCGAGTGATGCAAATGATGCTATTCGATTAGAAAAATAAAATACGAACTCTTTATATATACCTTATAGGTAACCTATGAACGACCAGGATTGATGATATATTTGTTTGGTAATTAGTGTTACAATATATTACCAGCTAAATCGGTTGAATAATATGAAGAATAAAATAATATATGACATGCAAAAACGCCACAATCTTGGCAATATATACACTGCGCGTGGGATATCGAGAAAAAACAAATTCTCTAGACTGAAGCGATATAGTCAGCAAGAGCGAATGACGAGAAAATATATCGGTTAAATTTATGATATATATGTGTCATAACTACAATCACACATGGAGGAGTCATAACCAGTGTGGAACTTGCTAAATTAATACCCTGAAACATATACTTTCGAGTTGCGTTTCGACTCAATTGGAAGGTCAACGCGTCATTGGCGTAAAATGACCGAAAAGCGGCATGAGTGCATAATTAGTAATTTTTGATTTTACCTCTTCTCTTATACATCATACAATTACGATAAGTATTTGTTCAAACAAACCTTTTTTCCATATTCTCCTTTCAAACCAACGTCTCCAGCAGGCCCTGGCTCACCCTAAATAGCAATAAAATTAATGTTAAATTACAAAGTATTCTAGAATCAAAATTGTCTTCATTTACACAGATACTAGTAACTAGAAACACAATCAATGGTATTTTTATATAGAGAATCTGGATTGCAACATATTTCAGTTCCAATTTTCATTGTTAGATATCGAGTAGAAACCAACCACACTTCTGCTATCACAAACAAGATGAAATTATCCCGTGAAGACATATTTTCTGCATATGAGTTGGTTTCTTCACATAACAAAAGAGCGAGAAAACTAAACACTTCTTGGCTTCTATTCCAATATTAACTCCTTGGCGATATAACGAGGTTAGAGAAAGTTTGTTTTTAGTGAACAATACGCTTTTTTATTTATTACTTATAGTCAGTAACAATATACAAAATGCTAATAAATCAATAAATTTACTAATAATAATAATAATAATAAAGGCTACTAAAGTAATATATATATGTATTTATCAGTAATATAACTAAAATGAAGACGACGGAAATTGGTTATACTTTGGTGAAGATTTGTAAGTATGAGTTTGTTATAAGTGGATTACCTTTTCTCCGGGTGGCCCAGCTGGACAAACACATTCCTCAAGTTTTGCTATTCCAGTGGGTCGAACCTCTTTTTGTGGAATTTCTCCTTTTAGTAAAGTTGTATTCGGCTTCGGCTCAAATTCAAGTTTCACTGTCGGGATCACTGTACAAGAAATCAAGGTAAAATTAAAGTTTGAGGCAGGTAAGGTCAGTCGAGGTAACGAAAGTTTAGAGCAGGCAAAAAAATATTTATAATTATAACTTCCAACTTGGTTTCAATTAGCTTTATTGGTGATATATTAATATAATAACACTAGAACTGTATATTTTTTATTCTTACGAATTTAAATTAATTATTGCATTTCAAGTGAGAGGAACAAAAAATGAAACAAGCTCTATTTTTCAATAAATCATCTTGAAACTTGTTCTTATAACTTGAAGTTAATTAATTTAGCAAGAAAAAACCAGGGTGTTCACTTCTCAAGTACGATACGATTCAGGTAAAAAATACACCACTGACTATATAGTGACGTATCTGCACTAATTTAATAAAGTTTCATTTTATTCTACAAGAAAGCATAAAAGTACAATCTAAAACAAGCGTTAATCAATCCTTTTTGTTTAGTGCCATTTATAAACGAACAGTAGAGTCTCAGAGACCGTTAAGCTGTTATATCGCAAAGAATTAAAATAGTTAACAGTTATATTATATCAAACACTTATATGAAAATAAAAAATTGCTGTTTCTATAAAAAAAAGTTCAAAGTTCAAGATATTAGCATAATAAAGAAGAAAAATTCCATGCTTCAAGAAACCCACAGTTCGATTTGATTTCAATAATCCTTACCAAAATCTTCATCCGTAAAGTAGTCTTCATATCATGCATGTGAACGAACAAGGTTCATGAAGAAAAACACAAAATGTTAAAGTGGGAAAACATGCAATTTTATCTTATTCATAAATCATACTAAATGTGAGTTTTTGAAAAATTCATGCGACCTGATAATTTAACCTCAATTCATATATGATAAGATGTTGACTCTTGATAGCATTAGGAAAAATTGGTAATTATCAAAAAATTATAAAAGTATCCCGCTTGGTAAAGATATATTCATATCTTAATAAAATATTCAATAAATAAAGTACTGCATCTTGAAGTTAATCAGGGTCTTGTTACATAAAGATATTTAAGTTGCCAACGACGCTGAATATCTTAAACCTATTCCAAAGCTATAGTCAAGCACATAAAATCATCATATCATCTAGCACGGATTACATATAATATGCGAATAATATTACAAAAAGTAAATTGGTAATTTATTGCAATTCGAAGCAAAAGCGTGTTGTTGTTAAAGCGTGTTGGTTAAACGAAAATTTTCGACAGAGTTGGATTGGCTTGCTCGATTGGAAGACAACATGTTATTTTAGAGAGTTTAGCACAAATAACCAAATTTATTGATATAGCTTCGCCGAAATGCACATTTTTAATTAGATAAATTTATTGAACATTTATTGTTCAAAGAATGCAGTATTAAAAAGCGTAACGAATTGAAGCTGTGAATTTGAAAGATTTATTAAAAATAATATATACGCCAATATGTAATTCATTCAAATGTCGACATGTTTGTAATTTTTATGGTAAGTCAATTTGGAAAAAACTGATTGAGCTGGAAACTACTTTAACCTACTTTAGACTGCAATTTGCGGAATTTCCTAATACGAGCCATGCTCTAACTTAAAATACCGACTCCGCAACTTACTATTAAGGCATAATGAAGAGCGTTAGTTTTGAAATGCAATATCAGGATGCTTTCAGCATAAGCTGCTATTCTAGATATCATAATATCGTTGTATTCAAAGGTATTAGATGGAGTTTTACAGATGCGTATTATATAGACTAGAGTCAGTAAATAACCGTTATTACGATATCTCACCATCAAATTCTTTTTCAATTTCTTTGAAATCACCATCTAATGCGAGACAGTAAACCAAGGTTTTACTTTAAGTCAAATCCCGACAGTTAGATCTATCCATATGTATGGTGTATTATTTATTTTTTGTGCAGGTCAGGACAGTACACAGCAGATTTATAAATAAATCCCTGCAACTAAACGCAACAAGAACACCACAGGCATTGAAATGAGTCACCAATTGTAAAAAAAAAACTTAAAGTGGAAAGTAACACGACCAATAGCACCAAAAACATGCAAGATAAGATAAGTATCAAAATTACCAGGAAAGCCTCCACCTCCATCGCTTCCATCACTGTTGTCACCCTGGTGATGAAATGAGCAAATAACTATTACAGCAGAATCGTCGCTTTGTCACATTTGCCAACTTTTTCGTTATGATCAAAATTATTTTATTATTATTCGAAGATCGCCACAATTCCGATCGAATAATTGACAGGTAGGTAGTTCAGCTACATTATGATATTTCGAAATATTACTTCAGAATTATGAAAGTTATGAATACCTTTAAAGTTCAAAGTTCAGAGTTCAAAAACTTTAACCTAACAACTCACATCAGTAATTAAACCGGGACCGACTGGTGTGACCTTCCCGTTGTTTCCTGGAATTTTTATTTCTCCTTCAGGATTAACGATTACATCAAATTCATCTATAATTTCTATTCCTGACGGAGTCCAGGTAGTAGATTTGGTTGAGATGTCCACGAAAGGAGTTGCTGGTCTAGTTGTGGTTGTACTAGGACTGGTTATGCTTCTAGGGATTGTGGTTGTTGATGCGGTAGTATGTGCTTTCGTATTCTCTATATCTTCTTTTGATGGACACTTTATAAATACATAAATTTACAAGCTTAAGCATATTCACGAGAACTTACCCCAAAGAGAAAGATCTCCGGTTATTACTTGAAATATACATTAGTTTTCCTACATTCAATTTAATGCATTGCATAATCTACGAAGACAATTCATTGATAAAACAATACCAACAGTAGAGCAATATCGATCTACGTGTGCATCTCATGGTGTCTTGCATAGTTTGAATTCAACAGCAATTCAAGGTAAAAACAAACTAATATCTTCTACTATTGTCGATTTGATTTTAATTATGCTGCAAACAGTTGACATTTATAACTGGCGAAGGTGCATGGCGTTGATCTTATCATAACAATGGCTTTACTGAACTTTGTTTATTGTCACTACAATATTTTTTGCAATATTTTAATCATGCAGTATTGGTGATCGATATCGACTCAATGTCCATAATTGATTGTATGATTTTATTATATTCAATTACTTATTTTAAATTTTTAGATTAAATTGACCCCAGCATGATACTGTGATAAGTTGGTATTTAAATGAAAAAAAACATCCAACAACTTAGTCACCGTATACTTGGAAATTATAGATAATATATTAGCGGTAGAGACTTACGTCTTCAGCCTCATATCCAGGTATCTCACAACATCCCTCTTCTGCTTCTTCTGCTGATTCCATTTCACAATACAATCTCATTGACTGCAGATCAAACTTGAAATATAAACAAGGAAGATGTAAAATAAAGCATAAAGAGTCTTTATTAATGTTGGTCCCAATGTTGGCAGACTGTAATTGAATATTTATTAGAGATTAAATTGTCATACCGGCGCATTCGAATGTCTTGTTGTTCTTCCCAGATAAGTTTTTCCTCCGATTCCAATTTCATTTTCTTTAGGTCTCATTAGTCTTGTACTGATTTTTTCGCAATCAAGAATTAGGGTAACAGAAGCGCTACACAAAAAGAAAAAAATGAGTGTTTCGAATGTGCTGTAATTATGGGAACCTAAATACGCACGGATATTAGTTATCTGTCTAATACATAAAAATAATACTGCAATTGCTATTTGTTCATAAATAAGAGCCATCTATAGCATAAAGGCTCAAGTGCATTGAAACTGTCATATTTTTAAAAAGTTCGAAATTGTAAAAGCACTAATAGAATTCGACACTATCATATTCCCACAAGAGTATTAATTTTCTTCAACTTATACATACATATATCTGCCAAGGTAATCGATATATAATTTAAGTTTGATTCCGAAATTATCATTCAATTATACTAATTAATCTTACCTATTTATTTGCATCATGAGTTTATGATAACCTTTATCAAACAGTTTTTTGACTTGCTTGTATTTTGAAGACCGGAACAAAGCTGTTGATATTCCGCCATCTGCTCCCAGTGCAATGAATTCAACAGATTTCTAAAAAACGAAGGTAAATGATAAGTCTAGGTGATTATTTTCAATAAAAATGAATATAATGAAGCTTTGAATATATTATATAAGAAATTTTTCAACAATTTCTAGCCTACATTCAGTTCCCACTTCAATACAATCATTGTATTTGAGTTATCTAAATTGGTTACAGTAAAGGTCTTCCGAATGGACGAGAAGTTTATCCAAAGTTTTAGTACACCTTCGACATTTCGATTCGTGATCGATGTTGAGAAATGTTTGATTCGATAGAATTGTTGTAAATTGCAATTACCTCCTATTATATTCAAATTTAATATTTCACAACTTACTCTCCTTGGGTTAAGTCTAATATCCAGTTGATCACGTCCCGCTTTGTCAACAACTTTCATTAAACTCCAGGCTCTTTTCTTACTTGATTGTGATGTTACCCGAAACGTTGAAACGAACACATATTGATCAGGAAGACCTCGTTCAAATACTTTTCTGTTAGATATAAATATATTTGGAGCTCATTTACGAGGTTAACTGAATTGCGAAGGTTCTGAAAAAGAGTTTTGTTTCAAATTTGTTTTAAATTATTTGATTCTTACCTTGTTTCAATAACTGGATTTTTCCCAAGTCTGAATGAGGCATAGCTTGGTACACTCCCATTAGTAGATGCCACTCCAGTGTTTTCCAAAGCAGAGTTATGCAAATCAAATGAATGCACCAAATCAAAGCCTGTGAAGTTTAGTTATAAAGAATAAATAAATTAAGTTAACAAGAGTACATCTTTAGGTGGGGTTGTGTGATGATGAGAGTTCAGTCAAAACGTAATAAACCACAATGTAGCAAAGAATTGTCTCCTATCATGCATTGAATATTTCCCATTACACTAAAATAAGGAATGTTCAGAATGTACAAGCAAGTAATATGAAAAAAAGAACATGATTCTTTCAAAACAAACCTCAAAGATAAAGAAAAAGTATAAAGATTACAAAAAGTAGATAATCGAACAAAATAACAATGAAACATGCACAAACGCACCCTGGTCATTACGAGTTCAACTATGCATGCATCCTTGCGTGAATTGGGCGAACAATCAATGATTAAATAGGCTTCAATTCAAATCAGAATTAACAAAGGTTTCCGTATTTTAGATTAGAATATAGTAAGAAATTGTTGGGTAGCAATAAACAATAGAAAAGTGATTATTATTTTACGTTCCCAGATGAGAAAGCACATGCGCTTCTGAATAACGATTTGGGCATAGGGCAGAATTCTCAACGTACACAATTTTCTTGTATATATTTATTTGATTATTTCTTTTATTGATTATTTCTTCTGACATTTTAAAAATTTCTAATCTAAAATATTCAATCGTATGATAATTATTGGATTAATAAATAGGAAACAAAAACTACGTGCCAGCAGTTTGTCATTAGAACAATTTATGAATCGACTTACGGTAGTTATTATCAATATATTAAACATGCACCAAATAATCAACCAGGAATCTTTTTATTTTTTTGATTATAATAATATATATAAACAAGATGAAAAGACTGTTATGCTGAATTTCTATAATTTGTCGTCCGATCAATAGCAGTGATAGTGCAGTCAGGCAAAATTGAATTTTTGAAGCAAGCATTCGATTAGCATTCAAAGTTATAAACGGGTCAAGCTTGACATTGTAGAGTGAAGATGCTATGGTAATATTTGAGTGACCTCGCTTATCCGAAACGATTTTTTTTAAGTTTTAGGTAATTCTACAAACTAGCAACATGTGCTGTAGTTTGTATTGGTTTTTTGACGCTACATGTCGACAAATTCCTGTTTATACAATCATACCCCACTATGCACCTTAGCGTCGTTAAAGCATACTTCGTAAAAAGAAGCTCTTGCAAATAAAGCGTACGTAAAATACCAAAGCAATTTATATATTTAAGTTCCTACCAAATGTGAATTCTTTAGGTCTCCTCTCTGTCAAAGTTTGAGAAAAATATTAGAAACATTAAAAATGAGTAAATGAGTTCAGGCTTAATTCGGAAAGGTTTTAGGAATAACTTACTCCACCTTTCAAAATAATAAATGTGAAAAATTCATATAATTTTTCTCAAGAAAATTGATGATTTTTTTATGATATGCCTAATGTATTATATATCAGATTGTAATAAAAACGTATCCCACAAAAAAGAAGACGACACCCTAAGAGTATAGAGAAAAAATCCAGATGTGAAAAAAATCAATGACATGCACTACTTCATCAATAATATGATCAAAAAAATCTCACAATGAATTGATTTGATGATTTGAATCCATGATGCAAACATTTACCGAATAAGATTATATAAATACAGATAATTTGAAAGTAACCAAATCTTTTTTAATCTGAATTTGTCATCATCATCTGCCAGCACAAAGTAAGTTCAAATTAATCAAATAATTTTGGCACAAGGTGATTCCATTTGCTTAATTTTGATGCACGTGATGGAAATTCAGATATAGAGTTCTTTGTATTGCTTATCTACGTGTCGAAAAAAAATGAAAGTTGTATTAGTGATTCTTATTGGCTTGCCTGGAAATCGTGAATGACTGATCGATGACCCATCACTAAGAAGAGCATCTGATTGCAAACTCAAATCTGGACAGATGGCATCTAGAACAAAATAAAATTTAGATTAGTTTCACCTATAAAATATGTTAACATAAGAACCCCTTCTTTTATTTTTATAGGCAGAAAATTGCCAGCCCTGAGAGCTGACGCTTTTATATCTAATGCACAATTAATCGTGAAATAGTACATCTCTACTATACAACAGTATTTAAACAATGAATTAATTCTAACATAAGGACATACCGACACATATGTGTTGTCTCAAGGACTCTCTTATTCGCTCAATTGACTTAAAATCGTTAACTTGAAAGACATGTCTTGAATCTGGATCCGATGCAATTTCGTTTAATTCTTCGACAACTGCTAATGACACCTACAGCACATTTGGAAATTTGAATTAGTTAGTTTATCAGAACCTTTGTCTCCTTATATAGGCATAGAAATGTATACAAACAAGCATAAGGCGACCAGGTTTGCAGATTCGTCTTACCATACTAAACCGCAAGCCAGATATCTCGACAATTGATCCGAGATCCAATTTCTCCAATAACTCAAAACATACATTATTGCATTGGTTGGTTGAGTCATAGGTTTCAAATCGCGTCATTTGATCTCTCATTATTTGCTGTTTATTGTGGATGGTCAAAGTTGTGCGAGTACTAATATACGAATCATTCGTGTAATAATATGAAAGCTAATTTTACCCCAACGGCATACAGTTGTATACCCTCATCCTGTGCCTCCTGTGAGGGTTTGAAAACATTATCTTGTGCACGACCATCTGTCAGCACAATTGCTAATCTATTGTAGCCAAGTTCGATTGGTCGTGCTCCCTTTGAAACCGAGAATGCATGTGTTCGCATAAACTTGATAGCTTTGCCAGTTCTTGTATTTCCTATGAAAAAGGTAAGTATAGTAACGGTAATGCTTTACACGTCTCCCAAGACGATTCTGGGTAACTAGGCATAACTTTTTGTTTGTTTTCGTGGCCTTGGGGCTTCAAATATTGAAATACATTTTTGAGATTCAAAGAGCTCAAGTTCAAGTTTAAATGCATTAAGATTCGTGTGACTTGTTCGATTGAAATTATTTCAATTCGGATATACTATCACTTACCTCGCAAATATTCAATATTATCCACAGCTTCTACCAAATCATCTTTATTGGAGTAATCATTTAATCCAATTGCAAGTCTGGCATGATCAGAATAAACAACAATCCCCGCTCGAGTTCGATCTGGACCGATATCAAATGAAGATATTAAGTTTGAAACCCATCTGTAACAGAAGAACGTTGACCATGATATGATGATTAGGAATGAACAATATATTTTCATATATGACAATTTTGTTGCAAGCCCTATATAATAAACGAACTAAATATTCTGAATAAAAAAGATGCCTGTCCACATTTGATTTTGCGCACTTCCGGAATCTATATTAATATACATAGAGCATAGGTTCTCAAAGTATTCCGTGCGTAGCACAGGGCTCCATGAGAGAAACCTAGAGGCTCCGTGAGCTATTCGTTTACTGATTAAGATACTGACTTGGATAATTTTGTAACTGTACGATGAAACAATAACGGCATTAATAAAACTTGACAATGGTCGCATCGAAATGTGGCAACGAGGGGTAATTCAAATATGACATTATCTATAAGTTCCAATTGAATTGATTGAATCGTAATCATAATTTAAAATGTTTGCAACCACGTCGGACCAGGACGGGATTCTGGTTCAAAAAATTTTATTATCGTACTGAAGATATAAACATGATATTCCGTAAATGGTATTGTAAAATTGGACACAGCAAAAAGTATACTAATCCGACCGAAATTGTCAGATTATTACAATATGTTGCCATTGTTGCTCTGTGATGACATTTAAAAGTCTTATGTCGAGCTATGTCGAGGGTTCGAACCAGTGTTCGGCTTGAGACATTCGTACAAAAGGGTATTCATAAAAATTATATATGTGATAATTCATTTAATCGATAATAAAAGTCAATTATTCTAATTATACCTTCGTATTCTAGTGAAGTTAGCATCTCCCACACTACTTGATGCGTCGATGACAAAAACAAGATCATAATATACCGTCCTGCAACCTGCAAATAAATTTTTATAATTATTAGGTCATAATAATATTGTAACATAAGCATTTATAGAGCTTCTACGACATATGTACAATGCATATATAAATTCTATTCTAAGTTATTGTCGCCGTAAAAACACATTTTCTACCATGCCGTTCCAACATAGAGCAAGCTACAGGTCGTTATGAAATTTAATTTAACGTAGGTATTCAAATATTAATTTTACCATAGTAATGCAATGAGTCATCAACAAAAATTTTATCTAAATAGTAAAATAATTTCAATATTTAGTCGAGTATTTCCGATATATCTAAAATCAAGTAATTTGTTTGTAAAGCAACATGTTCTGGACCATTTTGAAGGTTAAAATAACCCCGCAAGGTTCATGATCGCCATGCCCAAAGTATTCATGGAAACGTTTAGAAACGTCACTGCATGTCAGAGTAACTTTGATGAACTGGATTTACATGGCGTAGCAATTAGAAACTTATTTACAAACATTTTTGTAAGTTTTTTTAATCGTACAACATAAAAATCACAAGTAATTACGTTAAATTAAACATAGTTAACACACGAAAGAGATAACACAAGGATGGTGACATTCTATGATGTAATATTAAAATTGATGACATGATTTCAAATTGGAAGTATTTGACAAAGAATGACTTGAATGTAACAATGTGCATTTAGGGATGGTGTGAGAAAACGGATGAATGTGATTTGAAAGTTATCTAAAACACAATAATGATATTTCAATAGAAGACGACACAGAATACAGGAAGTAAAACTTCTGATAGAACCACTACACTGAATTTCCACTCTCTCTCATGTTAACTTTGAATAGGATTGTATGTTACAATCCCGGAATTCTCGCCTAAGTCAAACCAAGCTCAGTATTTGTTCATGAAGAAAATTTCAATTGTTAGTGCTCTGCCAATTGCGTTTTGCGCAATCCTCCAAAAAGTCGATGTGGGTTTTTGGCCATTGGTTATGAGTTATGACCATTATAAATCTACCATATATTTGAACGAAATTTAAATATGTTTTTAAACTGACGCCCGAAAATACGCTTTTTCGCCATTTTTATCTTAGATTTCAGTACTATCAGTTAAATGTCAATTCCGATCTAGTCGCCATTACGCTTGTAGCACAAAATAGAAATGTTTATTTTTTTCGTGATTCATTGACTTAAAGTCAATTACTCAGAAACCTAAGTTTGATATAAAAGTGGAACAAAAAATGTACATTGATTCGATTTGAAATATATCAGAGTCCTAACATGAAGGTACAATATTTAATTTTAAACAGCCCTAATCGTTAGTATAGCATTATATGGTATTATATTTTTTTGTATATTCAAAGAAGTCAACTGTTTATTCTGGAAATTCTCAGCAGAACTTAATTTAGTTGCGTATCACACTTATTGAAAATAGAACTTATTGGCTGTGCGTGTTAATCAAAAATATTCTCAAAATGAAGTTCATTCATACCACGATGTCATCGATAGATGATATATGAGAGTAAGTTAATCGGCAACTGCGAAGCGTGATTTCTTGCTTTAGTTAGACCTTCAAATTTATGACTAAATTCGTGTTAGTTGGACTACATCTTAAAATCAAATCAAGCATTGCATTATTAGTATTCAATTAAAACTGATAAGCAATAAGTTGGCTGCTTTGCATAAAACAGTTTGCGTACTGCACTTCTCATTACAAAAATATTTTCTATTTATGTATGGTTGATTGTTATGCATAGTTATATGCGTGTATTATTTATTTTTGATTTATCCGATTGCAACTTGCAAAAAGTGACAATAAACTAATGTGTATTCCGAAATTCGCCATATAATTTTAAATTTCTGAATGATAAATTATATTAGTATGATAGCAGTTCATTGTTATTGCAATTACAAATTTGTATAATTTGAAAAGCAACCTCTAAATGGCATAGCTTGCGTCTCTAATTCGGCAGATTAAATTATAATTTACTTTGCCTTGTGTAGAATGAGATTCTCATTCTGTCAGAAATTAAATTCTCTGTATCCATGTGATTAAAAAGAAAATAAAGGTTGATGAGTTTACAAAAGAAAGTTCAAAATCTATTATTCTGATGAAGTCATGCTCAAAGTGAGTACTCACGCGAATAAGACAATCAGGATTCAAAATATTTTCGGGTCAAAATATAACTTGATAATTGTAAAAATATTTGTCTTACTGTTAATTATTTATTTGTTATGAAAAAATTGAATGAAATCAGTGCCCGGTTTTCAGGGCATGTGAATCATAAGTTAATCAATATGTATATCAGTCGTTACAAAACTGACTTCGAAAACAAACAGTAATAAAAATCTCTCTAAATGTCTGTTAGAATCTTAAGTTAATTAACGAGCATTTCTGACTTGGTCATCCTGATTGGTTTTTGCGTGAGTCATCGACTTTAATGACAAAACATTTGAGAATATAACGGAGTATTCATATGATTGGTAGATAACAATAAGACGCAAAATGTTCTTGATTCATTATTAATTGATGATTTGATTTTATCATGCTAATTGTCAACCAAAATGCACAAATGTAATTAAAATAATTTTCATATGCAATACGTTAAATTGGATTATTGTTAATTAAAACGATATCAATTAATTAACGACGTTTGCAGTAAACTCTACTATTGGATTCCAAAATTTTGAGCCATTGTTTACTGTAGGGAAAAGCTCCGGGCTAGTTTTAGATAAACTTTCGGAAACACATGATCAGTCTTGATGAATTACTTGGAAATATAACAAATGCCAAATCATTCTACTATTTTATCGTACAATTTCTTAACATATCGTATGTGTTGCTTTATAAGAAGTTTTACATATTTTGAAAGAGGCGAAAAGGTATTTTGCAACCATAAAAATTCATCCCAAAATTAAACTAGAATCCAGAAATTTTGCATTCCAGAGTAATCCATCAATCAGTTATATATCTATCAAACTTTATTTCTAAATAAAACTATCAAATGCAAATCAGGTATGATCTTAATAACGTTCGTGATTCATTATCACAGAAAAAAATCGGTATTAGGTGTCATGTTCGATCAAGAATAGGCTGCGTTTGAACCGCATCACGACTCATGATGCAGACTCGGCCCATGCCTGAGCAAACTTCGATAGAGATTTGAATGTAGGAATATATCAGCAAACAAGAAAACAAACTCAAACGGCATCACAAATCACCATAGTTACATGTTGTGACATCAAAGTCACGTGATCGATTGTTCATGCACGTGGTACGTTTCACGTGACAACTCACGTGCGTCATAAATGACGTAATCATGCCACGTCACCTTCATTGTCACGTTCTATCCTGTTTCCAAAACCATTTTCTTGTAGAATCTTTAGATGCCTTTGTCTTCGCCTTTCTTCATTCATATTTACGTCAAAAGTGGTTGAAATATTAGGGTACAGATATACGCATTATGTTCTTACTGAAGCTTTGCAATGATTTAAGATGTGGTCTAACATTTAAGTGTAAATATGAAGTTTGAATATATTTTCTATAAATTTCTGATGGCTAATCCTCCAAGTATACATATTTTAAGTTGCATTTAAGTGATAAGCAAAACTTGTCCCAGCAGATATTGAACGCCGGAAAGGGCAGCTTTAGATTGTGTATTTGAGTTGCACCGTTCAGCTATGCCAATATGTACATGTGCATTACATTCCAATGTAGCAAAACATTAACAAAATTGACGGGACTTCTACAGTTGTTCCACTCCATGCAAAAAATCATTAAGACGTCATTAAGAACGTTGATAGCACGCAATACACATCCCACATACTCAGGGAAATTTCAAATCAGTAGGGCATAAGTTGAAATCAAAATTGAACATAAGATATTGAGTTCGAATCGAAGTATATTTACCAGAACTGGTAGCACACGTATTTTAAAAGATTTTGTCGAGAAAAAAAAGTTTATAATATTATATCACGAATTTTTTATTGATAGTTTATTCCCGTATTCTTGTATATTATAAGCTTTTAGTCATATCGTCAATCGTAAACTACAAGAATAATTTTGTTCAACTATAAATAGGTTTTAAAGAAAAAGGGGTTTCTAGGCTAATAAACTTTCCGATACACACAAATATTTTTCATATGATAATCAATATATTCTGTGCTGCAATTACGTCAAGACTTCAAAAAATGAAATAAAAGTAAACGTATATAATATATTCACCTGCTCTATCTTTTGATCGTGATGGTTCTTGACATTCAACTTGAGAAATGATAACGATGACGATGAGAAGCGAATATATGTAATAAAAGTTCTTCATGTTGATCCTGAACATATTATATTAAAACTAAGACATTGATTGATTGTCATTGTTGTCAAAATTGAAAATTGAAAAAAAAATTGAAAAATATCTTCTATATCATTTTTCCGCAAAACTCATCTATAAGGCGGTTTTTCATGTGATTGACGTTTTTTTTTCAACTGGACATTCTGAGCTATTTATTATGACGCTATTTTGAATTCATAAGCAATTGATACAGTTGAAACATTCACCAAATTTTCAACAATATACGTAGATCATGCATACTTAGATACATAAATAAAGTGGATTATGGCAAATATAACAACACGATGCCTTTTTATGGGCTCGTATTATTTTTAAGATGATTTTATCTTACTTCATAACGTTAACAAGCTGCTTTCGGAAACATTCACGACTCGCTTCTTCTGATTTCTATCAATTTTCGTTTAAAAAATTGCAGTGTCGGGATAAACTGGTTGATTATAGACACGTGGAAACCTCAATAGTATAGTCCTATTTTTAACTTCAGCGGGCGGAATTTGACAAGAATGCGTTATAATGCGTGTTGTATAGAAGCAGTCATATGGGACTAAGAAATACATTTTATTGCATTATAATTGGCATTCAAAGGATACTTCTAGAAGTAATTACGATGACTTGCATGCACCGGGAAGGAAACGCACTATCTCCGTTTCGAAAAAGAAATAACAAAAGAATAAAAAAGGTTGAGCTGAGAGGGCCACAGAATAGCATATAAAAAGAGTCTATGAACTCGGTGCTTTTGGAAAGCCTATTTAAATCGTCATATATTTCATAGTTGTATCAAACCAATAAGTGAGTCGTTTGAGAGCGTATACTAAAACGTATCTATGTTCCTAAATGATTTAGTGTGTGAACTGTGAATTGGATTCGATCCAAGGCGACCATGTTTCAAAGATCACAATTGTACTCCATGTGTGCTATTTTTGTAAATAGTAGATGAACCGTGATAGATACGTAACATCATTATGTGGGGTCGGATTAATGCCCCATTTCCGCGAATCGAAATACAACAGCTGCTGATGTGAGATGGTCGATCTGCAGGTGTTAAAATAGCTGTGTTGAGAGAAATCAGTTATATACATAAAACACTAAAAGTCGTAAAAATTCTGCAAAGCAATTTGCTATTTGTTGTTTTAACGATTGCCACATTCTTTGGCTACGAAACTCAATAAAAATAATTATTCTTTGTCCTAACACACGATGCAGTTCTCCAAAGTCTTCAAAGAATTCAACTGACACCCATGACCCCAAACTATAGTTTTTATCAACATCTACCACAATAGTGCCAAACAAAAGACTTCCTGACATAAATAAAGTGGGGTTACTACTAAAAACACAATTCCTCATCTAGTTTCCATGCCAAAGATCAGTTACCATTTTCCGGCAATGAGTAGTACTACCGATGGACCACAAATATTTTGACAGCAAAACATTTATGTTCATTCAATGTGGAGTTACTTCAAGACATGCCATAAATGAATCGGAACATAATAAATACGACCAAATTGGGGTTGAAGCATATACGAAACTTTGAATAAATCTATTTGTCGTTTGAAGCAACAAACACTTGAAGTTCAGACGCGCGGCAAATCTTGTCTGACCATTATTTCATTGTGATCCACATCCTCACGATCTCGAATGACTCAATTAAATGGGTCATTTGGCCTAAATGAATAAGTTTTTTGTCGTCCTTGTCAAATGAAGCTCACGTTTCTACTCGCAGTTCAAAGATAATGTTGGTTACGCAAATACAAAAGAACTATAGGAAAATGTATATCACTTTTTGGCCACACTTTCTGTAAAGAACCTAATATTTTGCCAAAAGTTCGTACTTTGAACGTATTTTTTCTTCGTACATTTGTCGTTGTAAAATAGACCTGGAAATGAACGACTTTCTTTTTTTATAAGTTTGTAAAATTTAATAAATACAATAAAATTACCTTACTTTAAAATCAAAAAATCTTGAGCGCAGTTTCCTGATTCATAAGTATAGATGTCGAAATCTTGATTGATATAATCACTGAACGCACACTCCCGGATAAATATTCCACTTTTGAAATAAAAATTACTCTTTTACTCCAATGCTTTTCATTTGTTTTTAGTCTCGAACCATTAGTTAACAAGTGCTGAAATTATGCTTATTATGAAACTGAAAGGTAAATATAATTTATTTAATATGCGTTTTGATGAAACAAAACTATACTGGAAGCTACTGTTTTACTGCTGTTACGGGATTGCTATCGTCACTCAGAGTATCATCACTGCCAACAGTATTTAAACTTAATTGTTATTAAGACAGTCACTAAATGCACTGGTAGAATAAAGGTATGAAAGGTATTAACGTTTACTCAATAATACTTGCAAATTACCACACAATGCAATTTTACAACAAACGTATGTTTCAATATACATACAAAGCTGAATTAAAAAAAACGTGGATTCAAGTTTGGCAATGCAATTTTGCATCAAAAATTGTTAATCGATTTATCAAGTTTGTTAAATTATCTGTTTATTGTTAAAGCTACTGTTTTACTGCTGTTACGGGATTGCTATCGTCACCCAGAGTATCATCACTGCCAACAGTATTTAAACTTATTGGTGTTAAGACAGTCACTAAATGCACTGGTAGAATAAATCGTTCTTCAGGTCTACTCAGTATTCAATCTATATCGCTTTAACGCATTAAAGCTAGCGTGGAAGCAATATTAAACCTCAAAGAAAAGTGAATGAAGAAACAAGTAGAACTCATAGAAGCCTAAGTGCTGTCTGAATTCGATTTTTCTCAAAACCCTTACATATTTCACTGAAAAGAAATATCATTAAGAAAATAGGAGTTATTCAGTACGAACTGAATTTATTCTAGCTCACGCTATAATCAAATATCGTTCGGCACGTGTATTATATTTGAGAGCCAACGCGATTCTATTCCCATAAAATCCAATTGCCTCCATCATTAAATTATATATCTATCCACTATCTTTAATCGTATCGTATTTATATACGCCTGACGTAGCTGATCTATTGCTAATAATTTCTCTATTTGCTCGAGTTCACACACAACCGAGATTTCCTAGACAACAAGCCAGGAAATGACACCCTTTGCGACAAAGTCGTTCGCAAAACTCGATGATGCACGCCTGGAATGCGGTGAACACGCTTCGGCGATTGACAAAGGCAACAGAATGTCACTATCTTAAATATAAGTAGTACAGATGGCCGATATAAGAGTAGTGAAAACAAATTTTGAAGTCATGTCCAAAATTGATTATTCCATCACAAAAATTTCATTTCGCTTTATTGTTTCCGTTGTGTACATAAAAAACACCAATTTTATCACATTGTTGTGTAAATATATTGGCGATAATCGGTTTACTTGAGTTTATAAACTGACACTAATGCAAACAAGACATTAAAACCGCACTATATCTCAACATGTATCTCTGACGCATCCGTCACTTAACTTCAGTTTACCCACGGATCAAACTGATAAGATATTACAAGCACTATTTACATTTCATCTTGTTTTAAAATAGCTGACATTCATATACAAACAGATAAATTCGAACTTTTATGTGACATAGAAAAAAAACATTTTAAATATTATTTCATAATAAGTTCTGTAACAAACTTTGAGCTTCAACAGTTTGACATCGATTAGATGTCGCTTTCGATCGGTGTACCCCAAGCGCCACTAAAATAACTTTTATAAGATCGGTGTACCCCTAACGCCACTAGAATACCTCCCGAAATCTTGTCAGTAGCGACAAAGAGACCCGTGATTTTAGCACTGACGAAAATATCTACAATGAGCTAAAAGTTAGAAATAGGAAAGCTGGTCTTTGGAACATGAAACAGAACAAGTTTCCATTAAAAACTTCAAGAGGAAATCCTACTTCTGAATAAGCATATCCAGAACACTTGAGAGAATAATCCTTCAAAAATGAATAGGTCTCAAGTTCCAATCCTCAAGCTTTTCCGATTTCCAAATCGACCGGAAACATTTCTTCAATTGCCTAACTTTGTCAAACTGCCAGATTTCAATTTAAGGAAAGGTATTAACGTTTACTCAATAATACCTGCAAATTACCACGCAATGCAATTTTACAACAAACGTATGTTTCAATATACATACAAAGCTAAATTAAAAAAAAACGTGGATTCAAGTTTGGCAATGCAATTTTGCATCTAAAATTGTTAATCGATTTATCGAGTTTGTTAAATTATCTAAGCACAACTTAATAATAAACAACCCACAAACGTATCATGATACCGGAAGCCGTGCAAAAATATTTCTTGGTATAATTTTTAGGTATTATTGCCAAAACGACAGGTATCGCATTTAAAAAAATCCTTTGAATCTAAAAATCATGACAAAAATTCCATAAACTATTTTCTATACAAAGTTACGCATAGTGTTTCCTTAGTAGTAGTGTATATGAAATTTATCTAAACTTTTTCATTTGCTAAAACAATCATCATATATCCATTCGTTTCAACGTTATTGGATATAGCATTCAAATAGAGTCGACTTACCCTTTAGTATGGCCATTGATGATTCACGGCAATTTAAGGGCAGGCTATCTTTGAACTACATGTTCCGTGAAAATTTCAATTCATTATTCAAAAAAAAAAACATATTTACGATAATGATAAAAGGTCTTGACATTTGACCTGCTAGGAAAATAAAGCATCAAGCTTTGTTTTCATAACGACATAAAACCAATTAGGAATGGAGGCAAATTAACGTTCCCAATTGTAAGATACAGTAGAAGACTGACGCCTCTAACGAGATGTCATGGGTCAGGTTTGTGGTATACAGTCTAACTAAACTCAATGAGCAAACGTTATGTAATATTCGTAAACTTCTTTCTACAAACACAATACGACCTTCGATATTTACCACGACGAGTAAAATTTTATTTACCCACACAATGTTGTTGCCCAAAAAGTCCTAAATGTAAGAATCGGTATAGCACACATATT